ACAGTGAAAATATATTGAAAGAATTAGTTTTGAAAGCCAATCCTGTCAATATTTCCTTAACACTTGCCAAACTGAACGAAAAAAAAAACGTGTTCACACACTTGAGTTTGTATTCATTGTTCAGCAAAAATGAATAATTTCAATGAAAGTATGAATATACTGTTTCACTGAAAACATGTACTCATATTCATTATTCGTTCAGTAACAGTGAATCAGCCAGACTGCTTCAGTGAGACTGACAGGTGTCAATCCGCGTTCACAGAGTGCCCCAAATTCAAAAGCAACAACTAGGACCTGGGAAACTATAAGAGCTACGATTTTTTTAAAAATAGACCTGGATTTTTATTTTCTTCTTTTAAAGTTTATGATGAAGCTGCCATTTATTTTAAAACATCTCAAATAATCATCAAATAAAGCCCACAAAAAAAAAATTTGAAAAATGAATTTCCAAAGTATTCCAATTTTTTAATTTGTTTAATGGGTCGTAAAATTATGCCTCAATTCGACTACTTCGTATCTCTTATGGTTTCCAAGATCCAAATGGTCAGTCTCAAATTCGGAACACCCTATATAGTCAACAGTAACAAAATTTGAAGTATCTGTAGTTCATAAAGCTTACAATTTTATAGACCTTCTTCAGAATTGAATGGTTCATAAAAATTTTGGCGTAATTCAGAATAATTCTTTAATCTGATATTCGACTATGAAAGATAAGAGATATTATTTTCTATAAATCGATTACTTAAACAGAACACGCTGTAGGTATACTATTTTTTTTCTTTTAAATACAGAATTAAAAAATGCCCCCTCTGTTTGTATCTCATAAGGGCTTAAATCACTCCACTATAAATTTAGATTCCGTATTGTTGATGCCTAGTAATGGAAATACAAAATCTATTTACATACACGATAGATGCGTATTAAAAACCGCCTTTTAATAATAAAAAATAGCTTCGAACGAGACGGTATAGATATTTTAAATTCAAATTTGCAATTTGTCACGTGTGAAGAACGTGCAAATTGACTAATAGACAACGAACTTGAACTTGAAGATATATAGGGCGACAGTGACTTAATAATAATGCTATTAAGCTCCGTCTACACATAACGTTTTACTTGTTCAGTCAAAACGTATCAAGTAAAATTTGTATGTAGAAGAAAAAACCTGACCCTTTTAACAGACAGATATAACGTTGTAAAGGGGACTAAGACGGAAGATGATTTAGAGAACTGTCGTCAGTTCTATAAACGGTCTTCCGTTTTAACTGACAGGCAAAACTCTAGGTGTAGGCGGAGCTTTAAAGTAAAAATAAATTCAAATCAATTTAAGAATTATCCTATTTTCCTTCAACTATTTCATCAAATTTAATTTTTTCTATGGTCAACAAAAAAAGACCAATCTTTTTCAAACTGAATTACTTAATTTTCTTTAGGGCAAATTAACACCAATGTCAGTGACTTGTGGTACAAATTTTCCATAATATTTTTTTAAGTTTCCATTGGTAACAGAACATAATACAAGCCACTGACTGACTAAATTAAAATATGGTGTAAAATTCTTCACAGAATTATCAAATACTATTATACAGGGTTGTTCACCACATACGACACGGAGTATTGTAGCTAAACGATGAGATTTTTACAAATTTTAAGTCTTGGGTTCGATGAAGGACTATTAGAGGTACAATTTAAAAATAATTTTACAAGATACAGTGTCCCAAATAAGTAAAAAATATCAAAGTTGTATTTTTTTAAATGGAACACCCTGTATATTATTGCATTTTTAGTTTCTACGATTAAAATAAAGGTAAATTTGATTAAGGTTTATTATGCTTAAACATTACCGTTTTTGAAATATTTTCAATTTTGTGAAATTGCAGTAAAAATTTTAAGGCTTCATTCCTCCAAAGGTACCAAAGTTTTTAATACTAAATATTTACCGAAGTTTATTTATTGATCAGTTATTGTGTTGCAATAATAAAAATAATACTACCTTATACAGAGTGTCTAAAATTTTATTTTAAATAATTATTAGCTTCAAACGGCAATAACTGGTTTAATTTAAATGGAACACCCTGTATATTTTACGAGAATCAGATGCACAATTTAATTGTCTATCAAATTATATTATACCATTTTTTACCTATCTCTTTAAGTTTCCGTAGAAAATGCATTTTCTTGTAATTTAGAATTTATTTATCAATATACCCATGGAATATTGACATTTTAGATTATTTTTAAAGATGTACCAAATTTTTAAAGAGTACAGATACTAATATTGTGGATATAATTCGTTTATTTCATTAAAAAATAAAAAAAAACTGTTTAAATATTTGTTAAAAAGGACCAATTAATATGATTCCAGTATTCAAACTACATTAACTGACTGCATTGATTAATAATAATTGTTCCAAATACTAAAAAACTGAATTTTGTATGGGTATTAGACAGTGTGATAAAAAGTAACACCTTAAAAATGATATTTCATTTTTAATAAATGCTTATTTATAACAACAGAGACTTAAATTTTGATAACTTATTATTATATTGATTTCTGACTCAAATCCACATTTATTTAGAATAATTTATTAACGAATACAATTAAGTATGTAATTAATTAGTATAGGGCGGAAATAATGGTGCTATATTTAATTAATGGTATACTCTTTTATAAAGATTTAAATAGTTTTCTTTTTTGCATACAACATTATTGTTTTTAGCAAAACGATAATATTACTAGAATGTCAATATATGATGTCAATATTCCATGGGTGTCAATAATAAAATGTCAATATTCCATGGGTATATTGATGAATGAGGTCTAAATTATAAGAAAATGCATTTTCTACGAAAACTTGAAGGGATAGGTAAAATGGTGTAATACAATTTGATAGACAATTAAATTGTGCATCTGATTCTCCTAAAATATACAGGGCGTTCCATTTAAATTAAACAAGTTATTGGCGTTTAAAGCTATAAATTATTTAAAATAAATTTTTAGACACTCTGTATAAGGTAGTATTATTTTTATTATTGCAACACAATAACTGATCAATAAATAAACTTCAGTAAATATTTAGTATTAAAAAACTTTGATACCCTTGGAGAAATGAAGCCTTAAAATTTTTACTGCAATTTCACAAAATTGAAAATATTTCAAAAACGGTAAGGTTTAAGTGTAATAAACCTTAATCAAATTTACCTTTATTTTAATCGTAGAAACTAAAAATGTAATAATATACAGGGTGTTCCATTTAAAAAAATACAACTTTGATAGTTTTTACTTATTTGGGACACTCTGTATCTTGTAAATTATTTTTAAATTGTACCTCTAATAGTCCTTCATCGAACCCAAACCTTGAAATTTGTAAAAATATAATCGTTTAGCTACAATACTCCGTGTCGTATGTGGCGAACAACCCTGAAGATTGAAAAAAAAACAGCGTCAATTTGACATTCACCGTATAATTTTACACAAAATGACACCGAATTAAAATCAACTTATATGGAAAATATACAATTTAAAGAAAATACTATCTCTTTGTCTTTTATTATTTTTGAAAAGTTTATATTTCCAAAATTATCACACCTACATGAACAATCGCGATATTATGCAGGGTGGTTCGAACTGTATTCGGGACACTTCGACAACATATTCTGCAGATAAAAATAAGTAAAAAAGTCCGTATAAATAAATGTCCTAAAATACTTCGTTTCGGAGATACAGGGTGTAAAAGTTTCATTTTTATTTCGATTTTTTCCAAATAATTTCTGAATTAACGTCAATATTTGGATGAAAATTGGTGTCTGGGAGTTTTTTGAAATGAGCAATTTGATTTTGATGTCAATATGACTCCTACTTGTAGATGCGCCACCTACATATTTTTAACTGGTTTGAAGAGACATATCTTTTCATCTGTACCTGTATTACACTACTGAGCGAAAAAAATATACATTTCCGCTGGGTTTTTTTTATGTAAAAAAGGTCTCTTGGTAAAAATCGCTACTAGCGACCGTTCTCGAGATATTTGGAGTTGAAATAACCAATACATGTCATCACTGACAAAAATTTCAAATATTTCGAGAACGTAGTAGCGATTTTTAACAAGAGACATTTTTGAGGTAAAAAATGGTGAAAATGTATATTTTCTCCCACAGTAATGTTATACAAGTACGGACAAAAAGTTATTGCTCTTCAAAACAGTTAAAACATATGTAGGTGGCGCCCCCTACAAATAAGAGTCATATTGACATCGAAATCGGATTTCTCGTTCAAAAAAATACTGAGATACCAATTTTCGTCCAAACATCAACGTTATTTCAGAAATTATTTGAAAAAAACCTAAATAAAAATAAAACTTCTACACCCTATATCTCCGAAATGAAGCATTTTAGAACATGAATTTATACGAACTTTTTTACTTATTTTTATCTGCGGAATGAGTTGTCAAAGTTTCCCCATTACAATTTGAAGCACCCTGTATACACGACTGTATAAAACTAAATAATTTAAAGTGGGATAGAATAATTTCAAAGGAATTTTGAAGGGATATATGGGTTACTGGCATACCAATTAAATAGAAGGAACGATAAGATAATCGGCCTAAGCCACCCCTGTAAAGCTAGAGAGTAATAATAGTTACATATTAACTGATAACGCGTGTAATAACAAAAATAATTTTGAGTACTTTGTTGACAAGAACGCTTTTTTTTCGAAAACAACTTGTGAGGTAATTGATATACAGATTAAAACATATTTCAATAATCTAGATAATATAAGTATGAAAGATAGAAAAAAATGCATTCAAAATGATTTGGACGATTTCGTTTTTGCTCTACACTTACTTTAACACTAATCTCTAACAATAAAACAGTTAGGATATCTAAAATTACATCCTGTGTACACTTAGTTGAAGAAATAAATAAATTTATTATTAAATTATGTACTTGAGTAGTCGAATAAAATGTAGGTAGGTTAGATCTAGTCCAACAAAACTTACCGATAGTTATAAATTAGCTCGTCGCTTCCTTTTTTCCTCTGAACTGAAGTAAAACAATATCCATTTGTTGTACAAGTATAATTTTCACTTTTGCACAAATCACATTTGCATATTATAGACCAGACGTCTAAAAATATTAATAACATAATATAGATCAATTTAACAAAGATAATTGGGGTATAAAAAGAGAATAATTGATATAAACGACGTTTTTATGCATAAATCTAATACACTCAGTTCTAATTAGTCTAATAACATAATTGAGAAAAATTGTGTGTTGTCCAAAAAACTTACCACTAATATGCAGACACAAAATTGCGAAAATAACAAGGTAGATGGTACGGTGTAGCGGTGACATCGTGATATTTCCTTAAAACCCTCTGAAAATATCTAGTTTTTCTCAATTCCCACGATTCACATGCGGAAAAAAATCATGTTTTTAAACTAGGAAACAAACATTTCACAGGATGTCACACAAACCAACTTTTACTACTCGAATTTCGCACATTTTAGATTGTTAAATTACCGTGGAATGCGGCGAAATTGACGAACGGTTCGGTCAACTTGAATGCCATCACATTTTCCCAAATGAAAATAAATATTTGATAATAAAAATCATTAAAAAACGTACGACTTATCTTCAATGAAAAATGTCAACCATGACAGCAAATCTCAATAATACATTTATTACGTATCTTTGCGGAAGAGGGCGCTAATGATAAACGTCAAAATTTGTCGCCGCATATTTCTTCTATGGTCGCATCTGTCAGTCAATTTTTTGTTCAAGGACAAAGTTCAATTTGACATTCGTATTTTCATTTGACAAAATTCCAGTCTTTGTTTACAAACAACGCATAAAATCACGGAATTATCATCACATTTAATCGAAAAATTAAGTTAATTTCATGAAACAGTACAAAATGGCAACTATATCGAGTCCCAGCGTAATAAAACAGCCGTTACGAAACCTAGAAATTCCGCTAAGTAAATTTTCAGAAGAGGTAATTCCTCATCACCAAAAAATATTGGAACAGCACAAGAATTATATTAACAAGGTATCCAGTTTGTTTTTTAAACAATACGTCGTGATTATGAAAGTTTAATGTTTTAGCTAATTTCTGTAGGCAATGTAGAACAGTTATCTAGGGAAATAATAGACAAAAAAAGAGTAATTAAACAATTAAGAGATCTTTTATATGAACTAGACACTTTAAGAACGCAAGTTGAAGACAGTGACCTGGATTCCTTCGATAATAGGACTATGCCCTTGAGAACCTCAATCTTAAAGCTCACAAAAACTTACCAAGGTATTTTTTAAAATGTTTCAATCAATATTCGATATAATTTGAACAATTTTTTAGATCTAGAGAAAGCAGGTAACAAGTTAATACATAAAAATGACTCCTCACCAGAAGAATCATTAAATGAACGAGTAAATCCATTTGAGGGAGCATCTCATCTACAAATTGCAGAAAGTGTCCATGCACTAAAGCTGAAACAAAAACAAGAAAGGTAAAAGGTAACAATTTGTAGAGAAAATATTATATTTTTGTTGTAGACTGGACAGAGTTCAAGAAATCCAAAAAGACACAGAAGATCTACACGCAATTTATAGAGATATACATGGAATGGTACAAGTACAAGGAGATCAAGTTACACAGGTTTGTACTTTGAGAATTCTATTAAAAATTATAATTTTTATGTCATGTTTTTTTTGGGCTTCAGGTTGAGGAAACGACAACAAATACTGAACAAAATGTAAACCAAGGATTTATGGATGTTGTAAAAGCTCATAAGTAAGTAATATTTAGTTATTTAGAGTGTCTCTAAAAAACTGTTATTTATTTCAGAATAAATGCTGTAGCTTACCCAGCAACTGGGGCTTTTGTAGGTTCTCTTTTAGCTGGCCCCATAGGCCTGCTGGCTGGTCTCAAAGTGGGCAGTATTGCTGCTGTGGGCTGCGCCTTTGCTGGCTACGCTAGTGGGAAGTTTATCAAAAAACGGATGGACGAAGATCAGTCGAATGAATCTGAACACGTAGTGAACAACGAAAATAATGAGAACCATACCGTTGTAACAAACGGTGGTAAAAAGAATATGTGACATAAAGGATGCTGTTAAAAAAATAATTATTAGTAGATATATTAAGAGAGTTTTTTTTGCTTTTATGCTTATGTATTTTGGGTATGAATAATTTATAAAATAAAGAATATTAAAACCGTAGAATTGATTTTTCTTTGAAAATATTTTGATATTTTTTTAATAAACTGTATATTTTGTCGTTCCTGCTTAGTATTGTAAATTTGTAAATCAAAAGGTCCATTCATGACGTCAAATATATGAAAACCGTGAGAAATTCAAGACAATTTGACAATATCGATACTTTTTCTACGCCCATTCCTACTAATGTCCTTGAGAATTTTTTTTCCTAACCAGAGATATAGAGGGAAGATGAACATTCCCTTTACCTCTATATCTCTGGCCCGTTCGTACCAAAAACCAGAGAATAGGTACAACCAGGGTACAACCAAAAACCTTGAGAAAATTTTCTAACCCCACTTTATACTTCTTAAAAAATTCTGTTGAAAAATGCTAAAATACCGAAATTTATTTAAAATTTCCGAGCTGTGCAATGCAAAAACTGTTAGAACTTTATCAACGCCTGCTCCAGAAACAGAATCTACACAAAATGACATAGGTACCATCTATTCCGTAAGTTTTAACATAAAAATGTTACACTTTATTTAATATTTTAGCTCAGCTCCCATCACAGAAAGAAAAGTCCGTACTAAATCACCCAGATTACTTTAGTGTACATAACTTATTTACTGTAAAAGATTTATTCGATGCAAAGGTTCATTATGGGCACAGAGAAGGGTCATTCAACGAAAGGAACTTACCATACATTTACGGAAGCAGATTAGGGCATATTATCTTTGATCTAGATAAAACCGCAGAGTATCTACGAAAAGCACTCAATGTCGCAGCCCATATCGCATACAGAGACGGAATAATCGTATTTTTCTATCGAGGAGCACAGCATTCACATCTGGTTGAAACATACGCCAAAGAATGTGGTGAATTTGCTCATACGAGGTTTTGGAGGGGAGGAATCTTCACAAATTCCGAAAAACAGTTCGGAGCAGTCACTAGGTTACCTGATTTGTGTATTTTCTTCAATACACAGAACACTATTTTAGCCGATCACACTGCTATCAGGGATACAGCTAAAATGAGTATTGCAACGATCGGTATAGTGGATTCAAATTGTAATCCGAACTTAATAACTTACCCTGTACCTGGGAATGATGATTCAAAGTCTTCTATTGAGTTGTACTGTAAATTATTTACAGGTGCTATACTGAGGGGTAAAGAAAAACGGAAAGAACATTTAGCGGAAAGTTTAGAACAGTGAAAATGTGAGATGTGTGTTAATAAAAGATAAGGATTAATAAAAACACCAAACTGAGTCTTAGTTTTGTAAATTTATTTGTAAAAATAGTGTTTTTTGTTAAATTAGTACCCAAAATAACCTTACTCTCTAGAATTAAGGTGCTAAAAGGAAAATCAGTGCTGAAATATAGTGTTTTCCACCACCAGAGATAAAAATTAAGCATCCTTTTGTATCTAAAAAAAGTAATAAAATTATTTGTGTGTTAAGATGGCTCTATACAGTGTGTTCTTTAATGTCATGCTGCTATTCAAGGTGATTCTCGGAACTCTTCTAAGAAGAGAAACTTCATATGAATGTATCTCTTAAATATCTTAACTTTTGAGATAAAGGATGGTAAAGATTTCTTAAAAAAATATTTTTTCATAATAACTCTGATGTGGAACTAAATACCCTTAAATATTAGGAAGTCTTTTAAGGAACACCCTGTATATAGCCTACAAATAAGTATCAATTCTTAAAGCATGTTACAAAGCTGTTAGTAAGCAAAATAAAATAAAAGAACAAAAATAAGGCATTATTAATTATTCTTGTCTAAAGTTTAGCAAAAAAAGCACAATCAAAAAAGGTTAAACTTAAAAATCTTGTCATCCTAAAGCTCCGTCTACACATAATGTTTTGCCTGTCAGGTAAAACATTAAAAACTAGCGCATACACTGGAAGCTTTATCAACTATAGCATTATGTTTAGCGAAGCTGAAAAATATGAGATTTTACTACAAAATTGTATTTACGGTTTAAATTTCATTTGTAAACATGCAAAGCTATTGAAAAATAGTATTTTTTGGTAATAAACATTAAATATCTCTAAAAAAAATTGTAAAATTACATTAAGTTGTTAAGGTATGCAAAAATATTACATTTATAGAACTCGCATATTAAAAATGCTGATATATCCACATTATTTTTTGTAAATTCACTTAATTTTTTTCAAGCAAAATGACAGCGTGAAATTGAATGATCTACTGTAAAACGTTTTGTGTAGAGTGGGCTTTATAAAACAAATGATATTGTCTAAGAAAAAAAATTTCGAATCAATAAAAAAAATCTATTAAAAGGTCTAATATAAAAATATATATATAAACAAAAAAAATATTAGTTATAAATTATTATACTTCTTGTTAAACAATTGGACAGATATGGTTAAACAAAGATCACTATACATACGCATTACAAATAATCAAAACAGACTACATAAAAATCAGTAAAAAAAACAAATATTTTAACATTCAAACACCTAATCAAACAATATAAAAAAATTCAAGCTATTTTGTTTAAACTACGCGTACCTCTCCAAGTTCTGTCTCTTTACTATCTCTCAGCTTGAACATTATTTGAGGGCCCAGTACTTTCAAACACCTGCAAAGAAAAGCGTTAAACTTAATTAAATAATGGCTCTTAATTTGGATTTTCTTGATAACATACAGAAAGATTTGATACATAGTGAAGAAAGCTGTAATGATGTGGAAGCTAACAGAAATGTAAATAGTAATGATAATAGTAGTACTAAATATAAATATTAGGAGGATGCTAATTTTGGAAAGCCTAGAAATTTTAAGGTAAGCTTTGTATATCAAACCTTTTTATAGCTTGTTGTACTGAATCTTGAATATTGTAAATAATAATTTTTATAATTTGTATTATAGAATGTATTACAATGAAAGTAAGTTAAATAGGGCTGACGGTGTTGTTATCTATATAAAAAGTGATATCATAGAGGAAACTGAAATTATCGAGGTTAATAAATTAAATATAATAAACACTTCTATCAAAATGAATAATGGTAACAACATTGAAATATCGGCTTTATATAGATCTCAATAGTAATTCAATGATTGTGAACAATAAGAAAACGAGACATAGAAAGAACTGGATTACTAATGATATTATACAATTATGTAATAAGAAAGATAAACTGTACCATGAGTGGATTAAAGATAGAAGCAATGATGAATTAAAATTAAAGTACAAACAATTTACGAATAGGCTAAGTATAATTATTAAACATGCTAAAATAAATTTTGATAAGAATCAAATTAGAAACAACGCTAATAACACAAGAAAACTGTGGGATTTTGTAAATGCTAAAATATCAAAGAAAACCAAAAAAGAAACAAAGATTGACTATTTAATAAACGAGAACAACCAAAAACTTACTGACAACTTACAGATAGTAAATACAATTAATAATTATTTTAGCTCAGTTGGAAGAAAATTGAGTAATAAAATAGTAAAGCCACTGGATCAGTCATTGAGAATGCCAAAATTAAATAAGAAAACTATATTCATAGAACCTACCAGTCCTATAGAGATTTATAATATAATTACTAAATTTGAATTCAAAAATGGTGGAGTCGATATGATCAATACTAAAGTATTAAAAACCATTGCTGATTTTATAGTAGAGCCACTAAGTTACATATTCAACTTATGCATCGAGAAATCGACTTGGCCGGTAGCACTTAAATTAGCTGATATAGTTCCCATACATAAAAGTTCAAGTAAATCTATGGTATCTAACTACAGACCTATCTCTTTAATCTCGAATATTGCAAAAATTTTTGAAAAAATTGTTCATTCAAGAATTTATAAATTTATTATAAATTGTAATATTTTATCTAAAAAACAATTTGGTTTTATTAAAAGAATAGGAACTGCAGACGCTTTAAATCATATAACTAACATCATTTATAACAAATTAGACAAAAGCAAACCAGTATTAATAACTTTTTTAGATCTGGCAAAAGCCTTTGACACGGTAGATCATGGTATATTATTGGATAAGCTTTCATGTATGGGAATTAGAGGCAAGGCCAATGAACTAATGAAAAGTTATCTTGAGCATAGAAAGCAGAGAGTTAAAATTAATGATTATATAAGCGAGAATAAAGATGTAACTATTGGAGTGCCTCAAGGAACTATCCTTGGGCCATTGATGTTTATTTTATATGTAAATGATTTATTAATTGGCATACAGGATGGTTGTATAATATCGTATGCAGATGATACTGCAATCATTGCTACTGAGGACACTTGGGAGCAAAGTATTAAAAAAATGAATGAACTACTAGATAAGGTTGCAAATTGGCTTGCACTTAATAAACTGTCTTTAAATATTGATAAGACTGTTTTCATGACTTTTGGAAATTACTCAGATAGTGTTCCTAAATTAGTTGAAATAAAAATTAAAGACATATATGTAAAAAGAGTTGATTGTTGTAAATATTTGGGTATTATTTTTGACTCTAATGTAAAATGGGATAAACAAATTGAATATCTGATTAGCAAGACTAAATATTTAATTTTTGTTTTCTATAAACTAAGAAAATACATGGATGTTGAAATGCTTAGAACAATTTATTATGCCTTCTTTCAAAGTGTTATTAGTTATGGTATTATAGCATGGGGTGGTGCTTATGATAACTATTTTACGCTATTAAATACATTACAGAGAAGAATACTGAAAGTAATCAACAACAACTCTTTTGTAATAGACAAAAATCCATTAAGTATTGAACAAATTTATAACTTAGAAGCAATAACTTTTCACTATGAGATCTTAAAAAACAAATATATAAACTCCAAAAGTATTACAAGAAACAAAAACATAATTATACCAAAAAATAGCAAAAGAATAAGTGATAAAGACAGTTACATTAAAGCGATAAAAATTTTCAATCTCTTACCAACTGAATTGAAAAATTTAACAGTGGAAAAGAAAAATTTGAAGAGAACTATCAGGTTTTGGCTAAAGCGGAATACTGATCGCCTGTAGCTTAAGTTATAAGTAATTGATCTTTATTTTTGTTTGTATTTATATTTATTTTTGTTTCATACTTCTTAGTTTTTTAGTTTTTTTAGTTTTTAGTTGTTAATTTTTTAAGTTAAACCGGTCCGCGTACAGAGCTCTGTCTCTCTGCGGTTTATCATGTATTTCTACATTGTAAATTAACTGGTATTAATAAATAAATAAATAATTTAACTAAACAGGGTGTTTATGCAGGTATTTTCAAATTAAAAATAATAAAAGGTTGATATTTTGTTAAGTCTATCGTTTAACCCTTTATAGGTTGGTGGTCGCTAAATCCACCACTTTAATTTAACCAACTAAACAGTCGCGTGGAAGTTTCTTATCGCCTAGTTTGTTTGCTATATGATTATTTCCAAGCGCGCCTTGGCCGTTTAATCAACCACATCGATACGTTGGCCGAATTGGCGCGAAAAGTTAACGTAACTGGTTGAATATTCGACCAGTAAGCATTGGTGACACTGAGTTCGCTGTGTGTTATACAGGTAATAATTGTCATCTAAGCATTTTCTATGCAAATTTCGTGTGATAAAAATTTAAAAATATAGAAACAAATGTATGTGTGACGTTTATTTCTTTTTATCTAGTGCACCAAATTTACCGCTCGGATGATATTTTCTAAAATCGTTAACACATCCTGTATATTTTAGATCATTTCTCATAGGATGCGAGTTTCTCGAAAAACAAAATTTGATTTACTTGATATGGGCGTATTTTTGAGTAGAGAGCAAACAGAGATAATCAAAATTAACTTGCTCTTTTTTCTTACATTGGATGATACATACAGTTTATACATTATTATATACATCAGATTATTACATATTATCTATTTGCTTTGACAGTTTCTGGTTGAAAAATCGACCACCATCCCCCCACTCCCTTATTTGTTAACTTTTTGAAAAATGTTATTAAGAAGATATAATATTATGCTCCCTTTGTGCTAGTTTATATATTTGTGAAGTCAATTTTATCAATCTAGAAAATAATTAGTAATAAGGGTTAAAAAAAGTGTGTATGGAACACACAGAACCCGAAATAAATCCCAGAAAAATAAGTAAATATAGAGGTGGCAACTTCTCTAAGTTTACTTATTTTTCTGAGACTAAAAACCGTATTAATTTAATATAATACTCACGTAGAGAATAAAACTGGGAAATATACAGCAAAATATCCTATAGGGATCATTGGAAACACACCCAACCATGCTTCGCTGACTTTGTTTGCTATAGCTATGGCATTGAGTTCGCCACACCGTTTAGCTGTCATTCTTCTGTCAGTTGTTTGAGCGGGTACGTTATATTTCTATAAATCAAACGTGATAATGTCTACCTATACACAGGGTGGTCCAATGCACAGGCTCATCCTGAATCTTTTAGTACAAAATTAAAAAAAAGCGCCTAATATTATTTTTTTAAATTTTGCGGAGTTTTTTTTTTATTTTATGTTATTTATTTATTCTACAATGAATTTTAGTTCAGAGGTAGTAAATCTAGAAGGATGAAGGATATTATCTCACAACTTAAATTAACAGTGCGACTTTGATTTTTGACATTGTTTTTTTATTCTGCCGCCTAACAGCTTAAAAAGAAATACTGCTGTTAAAAATTTGTCATAAAAATCTGACTTAAGCCTTTTATAAAATGACTTTAATTATTTTAATGACTTAAGTCTTTTCTAAAAAGACTTAAATCGTTTTCTATTTCGGAATAGATTTAAATTGCAAATCATTTTCAAAAAGACTTTTTAAATTTTAGGTCTTAAGTCAGCTTTAGAAAAAGTACTTAATGATACAGGGTGGCCCAGTGCACTGGTTAATAAAATAAAATTATACCCAACCTGTCCATCTTTATCTGTAAAGGCTTCTGTCAAAAATGGCGTATACACGGGACCCGGACACAATAATGTTACATGGATATTTTTACCGATTTTCTCTGTTCTCAGACAGTTAAAATAGCCCTAAAAGTACACAAAAAACCGTCTCAAAATCACGAATATGAAGGTCCCCATACACTTCAGTTATTTTGGTCGGTTTTAATTGTGCAGTTAAGAACGCCCAGGTAAAAAGCACAAGCAAGCAACCATGTTAGCACCAACAGCAGACGATTAAAACTAAACTAATATCTACCAATGGAGCGTTTATATAGGCACTCGATTGATATTTACCAAGCGTGACAAATTTAGTCAAGCGAATCAAAAACAACCGAGGATAACAATTAATTACCGAGATTATAGAGCAATAGGAACAGAGAACTGGAAGGAATTGGACCATTATCTCTGTTCATATTATCTTTAAATTTATTTATTTTGACGTATTCATATGCAATTTATTGTCTGTAATTTTTAGTTTATTTTTTTATTTTAGTTTTAAAATATTAACATCAATACAAAGATTTTTATCAAAAATACGTTGAGTAATGCAATATTTATCCCTCTTATCTTATCTGAACCATATGTTTTTTAAATCTAGTTAATACTGATCTTCTACCTTGGCCAATATATTTTTGATTACAATTTTTACGTGAAATTTCAGAAATACCCATCCCTTCCAAAAGAGGTGTTTTATCTATCGGATTACGTAATATTTGTTGTAATTTATTATTCTTAAAAATTCTTTTTAAACCACGGTATAGCTATATACAGGGTCTGGCAATAGTGCGTCAGGCATCTGTAACTCCTAGAATAAAAAACTTTAGAATTTTGTTGAAGTGTAAACCTAAGGTATATACGAAGATGTATTTCAAAAAAATATATTTTAACTTCTATAGGGTGGCTCAAAAAAATGTGAATCGATCGGGATTTTTTTAAAATGGATCACCCTGTATATTATTGCATTTTTGGCTTCCTTTCAGATTATTTTACAGAATCCTAAGATATGAATAAATATATTTTTAATAATTAAACTATAAATATCGTAATCTTAAATCATACAGGGTGTTCAAAATTCTAGGCCAAACTTTCTGAAATAATATAAAATAATTTTTCTTTTTTTTTTTAACGGAACACCCTGTATATTATTTTTTTATTAGATGGAGAATTAAAAAATGAACATTTTTTGTATTTCATATGGCTCTCTGAACGGTAAAATACTACAGAAAAATTATTGTTTGGCTTTGATAAAAATTTACTGTGGAAATTGCAATTTGAAATATAAAACCGCGAATATCTGCGAAACCGTTAAAAATTTTGAAATACTCTAAATACAAAAAATGTTCATTTTTTAATTCTCCGTCTATTGAAAAAATAATATACAGGGTGTTCCATTTAAAAAAACGAAGAAAATTTATTTTTTATTTTAGAAAGTTTGGCGTAGAATTTTGGACACCCTGTATGATTTACGATTACCATATTCATAGCAAAATAAGCACAGACTAATCTAAAGTAAATACCTAATATAGTTTTGATTTCAGGACAGTCCTTGTATTTTTAATAATTTTTTTGAAAAAGGCTGAAAAATAATTATTTCTTACTTATTTATTAATATCCCTGAAACTATCGAAATACATTTACTCATATAGGATTATGTAAAATGATCTGAAAGGAAGCCAAAAATTCAATAATATACAGGGTGTTCCATTTAAAAAAGTCATCCCGATCCATCCACACTTTTTTGAGCCACCCTATAGAAGTTAAAATATTTTGCCGGAACCCTGTATAAAACACCCATACACTGACGTTTTTGACTGAACAGACCTACCCGGTCGGTTTTAAAACCGACTAAAATATCCGAAGTGTATGGGAACCATTAGAAAAAAAATGCTTACGTGAAGAGCATGCTTGCTACCTGTGTACGAGGCAGAGAATGGAACACCCATTACACCAGCCATACTGGTCATGACGGCTATATGTCCCTCGCCTTTTTTGTTGAAATGCTCCAGTGCAACCCTTGTAAAATTCAAAATAGAAAATACGTTCAGTTCAAATAATTGTTTGTCTACACTTAGATCGATCGTGTCAAAAATGGCCCTTTGTGACCTGCCTGCATTGTTTATTAAAATATCTACTGTTCCAAAATGTCTAATTGCATGCTGAAAGTGCATTTTGTGTGAGGAAATATCCAGGACGTCCATGGGGATAACCAAAACATCCTGCTCTTGTAATTTGCCACCGGAAATCGCTAAAATTAACCAAAAAGTTAAAACCCTAGTCATTTGATTAAAAATTCTTAGCGATTAGTTACCAATACACTGTTGTTTCACTCTTTGCAATTCTAGGTTCCTTCTGGCAGCCAATACCAGCTTAACTCCATGTCTAGCCAAGGCATAAGCTGTGTGCTCTCCGATACCACTCGAAGCTCCAGTAATAAAAGCAACCTTGCCTTTCAAACGTCCTAAAAATCGTAAAAATAGAGATGCTGTAAAGTTTTTACTACTTGTTTACATTATAAAATCATTAAAAGATTATTATATTATATCATTTATCATGACATAATAATAATTGAAGGTTAATAACTCTACTAAAAATAATTAAATTTGTGTTATTTACCTACAAAAAAAACGATTAATTGATTGTAAAACAGGAACACTATGTATATATTAACTTACGAGGTGATTTTCCTAATATCTGTAAAAATCCTAGCTGTACATCACAATCAAATATGCAGGACAATACTGTAAAAACGCATCCATATACAAATACTCCAATTCCAATAATACTAAAAAACATAATTTCTTTAAAAAAATGGACTTTACTTAAATCCTTTTATATAATCAGTTGGACTTGAACTGAATGAAAAGCTGTGAGAAAATGAAAACAATAAATACAGGCACTAGACAAGATAACTGTTATTTATAAAAACAGTATAAACTAATTAAGATTTAGAGATTAATTCTAATATAATTCTTTTATTTTTAACGTTAATTTGTTCTAGATAAATATTGGAATGTTTATAAATTCTGACGAATATATTACACACTATCTGGTTAATAAATAATATGAAAATAAAAAAATGTTTGTCGTCTGGATATCATTAAAAGGGCAAATAGCAATATATTTTTTATCATTTGCCAAATTCGAAAAACACCTCAATAAAAAGTTAAAGAATAATCAAACAAAAATAAAGAAATTAATTAACATACCTTATTTAAATTGTAGGAATTTATGTCCGTATTTCAATAAATATTAGGTTCTTTTGTAATTTTTCAAGTTTAATATTTAAATTTAGGCAAATCTGAACTCTGAACTAAACAAATCATTTTTAATAACTTTAATATATGAACTTTTCGAAAATTTTAGAATATGTTTCAAAGTTTCGCGGTTGTTTTCTGGGGGATTTATATGAATAATGTTTTTCGATTGGCAGCCTGCCTGTCTGCAGTTATTAAGAATGGGAAAATTTAAAAACAAATCGATATTTTGTATCGATATCCAAAGAAATAATTTCAAGTGGAAAATATAATAATAGCAGAGATATATGGTGGGTTCATACAGCCAAATAAAATAAAATAAGAATAAAATAAAATAAGAAATAAGGAATTCTTATTTGTGTGCGTTCATACAGTCAAATAAAATAAAATAAGAAATATATATTTGCTCATGCGCAGTACGATGAGGCTGGATAAAAGTTAACTTTTACGATTGTTTATAGTAATTTTACTATTTATAGTATATTTATTTATTCGTTGCCTACTATATTATACATTTTACTTATGTGAAATTATAAAATAAATTAAATCCAAACTGAAAATATTTGTAGGTTAGAATTAAGCGTGCGCAAAGCCGTTTTCACATAAAATAAAACAAGAAGTTAAAAGATAAAGACTTCTTATTTTATTTGTTATTTTATTTGGCTGTATGAACGCATGTACGGTATCCCATATAACCAACTTTCTTATTTTATTTTATTTTATTCTTATTTTATTTTATTTGGCTGTATGAACCCACCAATAGAGGTAGAGAAAATACGCATCAACGGTGAACAAATTAGATTCGATATTTCATAGACCTTATCGAAATATGGAAATTATCGATACATCGTCGACATCTCTAGTTAAAACATAACGTCACCTGTCATTCTTGTTTTAAAAACTTCAAAACATGTCAACTTCAAAAAATACTTGAAATTCTTCAATTCACTTCGATTCAATAAATTCATGTCGTTAATTGATATGAAATCATTGAAAAAATATGTTTATAGAAAAGCGTTTTGACCTTTGGAATCGAATGTAAAAAATTAAGTGTTTTACCTTTACGCTACCCATTCATTTGTTTAATAACTTTGTTCATTAGCTAGTGGAAAGGAGAAATATCGTAGTTTTTGATAAACTTTTTTAGTGAATATAAAATTGTCGCTATGGCTGTAGCCGCTGTACCCCAAAATTTGGTGGACGAACTGAGAGAAACATTTCTTAAGGAAGTTTCAGCCAAAGGACTAGACAGTAGGTTTTTATTCTGACGTATTTTTTAATTTATGCAATTTTTATGATCCAACAGGTGTTTGACTTTATTAATTTTTATAGGTGTGCACCCAAAAGATTATGAAAGAGTCAAAAACGATGATCACTGGTTACGCAGGTTCCTAGCTCATAATAAACAAAATATCCCACAAGCAATTAAAATGATGTGGACCTCCCTAACTTGGAGAAAAGAATTTAACGTAAATGGTAATTTATTTTTTAAATTTATTTGTATATTATCGAAAATTATTGAGTTTCTTTTTAAGATATCAGCGAGAAAAATATAAAAATGGATTTAATAATAAAAGGGGTATTTTTTTCTTATGGTAAAGACATCAAAGGGAAAACATTGTTTATTTTGAAAGGTAAACAACATACCAAAGGAGCTGTAAATGCCGAGGATTTGAAAAGATGTATTATTTATTGGTTTGAAAGAACTGAAAGGTATTTCTTTTAAAATGAATTTGTTTATTTTATAACTAATTTGTTTAAACAGAATGGTCGAAGGACAAGAAATCAGTTTGTTCTTTGATATGGAAGGTTGTGGCTTAACAAATATGGATATGGACTTAATTAAATATTTAATAGGCTTATTCAAAGAATACTATCCATATTTTCTGAATTATATCATTATATTTGAGATGGCTTGGGTGTTAAGCGGTGAGTATGTGCTTGTTACTTGTTACATCATATTCCTGTAGTTTAGGGTCATCAAAATGTCATGAATAATGTCTGATAAAAGTATTTACAAATTGATGCTCTTAATCACTAAAATTGCAAATGTGTAATTGTTATATTTATATTTTTTAGCTGCTTTCAAGGTGATCAAATCGTGGTTACCCGAAGAGGCCATTGAAAAAATTAAGTTTGTCGGTAAAAAAGATATAAGCACTGTGGTTCCCCCCAATGAGGCGTTGAAATCGTGGGGAGGGGAGAGTACATACGTATTTAGTTTTATACCGGAAGAAACTGAGAAACCTGGCCCTGATGCAAATAATTCTGCAGTCAAAAAAGTAAGAGCTAGATGTATTATAGAGATGTAATAAAGAAAATTTTTGAAAATCTGAATATTCGCGGTTATATTTTTATTTTTTATGAGTCTGAATATGGTGTGAATAGATATATAGGGTGTCCCAGGCTGAGCGTGCTTTAGAAAATTCTAGAGAACTACAATATCTAGTTCGGAGATTTTTTGTACATCATTGTTTCACAATGAGATCTATCAATTAAAATTATTTTCAATATGGCGGCATTTCCGGAAATACCGGAAGTTGACAGCAATTTTCTTATTTTGAATGGGTACCCCCATTTTCTATTATTTACTTTAATTCTCTGTAAAATTTTATGAATTTTATATAATATTAAATAAAGTATTGTTTCTTCAAAGCCATACCGAGCGAAAATCAAAAAAGAACTACGATATGCGGAGACAAAACCGAATAGAATATTTCTGAAGCAATTTGGTCCGTCTGGCCGTCACAGAGTGTTGCATCAGATATAAAAAGTATTATATAGAGACAACACATTATATCAATAATGGACAAAAATAGTATTGTTCCTAAGAATTGAAAACAAATGATTTATTTATGACTTATTTATATGCATAAAAAAACATAAATATTTAATTTTTTAAAACTATTTCTTAGTATTTGTGTTAGTACAGGGTATTGAATTAGTCCTAGTAAAAATATAGTCTAATGGGCCCTGTTTGAAAAACATTAAATTAAATATAATGTTTAAAATACAGTTGTCCCCCTTGTACTCGTACATGACTACAATACAACTAAAAAAACTAATTTAATAAAAAAATAACAGAGTTAACATCGAAACTCGAAGGTATAATAACAGGTATCATACCAACCATAAATAGAGTATGTCATATAAAAATGTTTTGAATTTTTACTAGAATCGACTCTTGATAAAAAAGGGACTAGATTTAAGTTTCCCTTTGATTCAGTCTGTATAATATTTCTTTGGATTTTCTGCAGGTGTGCAAAAACTACACTAAAACACTATATCTTATAGAAAATAAAATAGTTTGCGTTGGATTTGAGGGATTTCTCTGAAAAATTATTAATTTGGAAGAAAACCGGCAACAAGCGGCAGAAAAATAATAATATTTTAGTGCAGCCTACTGGTCGCAACCTTAGGTCACAACGACCAGCCAACGGCCAGGTCGTTAATGTGCGTTGTATCATTTGATTTAATGGTTTTAGAGGTAGCAGCGACCTGGCCGTCAGTGTGTTCGAGTACTTAAGTATAAAATTATGGCGTACTTTTGGCGCTACCCCCGTATTTTCTGTACGTGGGTGGAAGCGTCGAAGAAATAATGAACCCACGGCGCATTATCCGTCCAATCGATAATCAGAATTGTCTCTTATTTCCGCAGGTTCATTTTGTGGACGGATCGCCAATGAGTGAACAACGTTCGCATTCCCCAGAGCCCCAAGAAGGTAAGTGATGTGAAAAAAACACCGGCATGTTCCCCGTTAAAATAAAATACAAAAAAAATAGTCTGAAAAAAATCGGTCAGTCGTCTTAAAACATACTGTCAGATCATTCTGTAGGTTGGAGAAATTGTCTATTTTTAAATATTGTTTGTATAACAGTAGTATTTCCGGCGTTTTATTATTCAAAGACTGGGGCTTGTTATATAATTTTTATCGATAAAATTAAAAGTTGATATAAAAATATACAGGGTTGTTCACCACATACGACACGGAGTATTGTAGCTAAACGATGAGATTTTTACAAATTGTAAGTTTTGGGTTCGATGAAGGACTATTAGAGGTACAATTTAAAAATAATTTTACAAGATACAGAGTGTCCCAAATAAGTAAAAAATATCAAAGTTGTATTTTTTTAAACGGAACACCCTGTATATTATTACATTTTTAGTTTCTACGATTAAAATAAAGGTAAATTTGATTAAGATTTATTATACTTACCGTTTTTGAAATATTTTCAATTTTGTGAAATTGCAGTAAAAATTTTAAGGCTTCATTTCTCCAAGGGTATCAAAATTTTTGATACTAAATATTTACTGAAGTTTATTTAGTGATCAGTTATTGTGTAGTAATAATAAAAATAATACTACCTTATACAGAGTGTCTAAAAATTTATTTTAAATAATTATTAGCTTCAAACGGCAATAACTTGTTTAATTTAAATGGAACACCCTGTATATTTTACTAGAATCAGATGCACAATTTAATTGTCTATCAAATTATATTAAACCATTTTTTACCTATCTCTTTAAGTTTCCGTAGAAAATGCATTTTCTTGTAATTTAGAACTTATTTATCAATATACCCATGGACTATTGACATTTTAGGTCATTTTTAAAGATGTACCAAATTTTTAAAGAGTACAGATACTAATATTGTCGATATAATTCGTTTATTTCATTAAAAAATAAAAAAAAAACTGTTTAAATATTTGTTAAAGAGGACCAATTAATATGATGCCGTATTCAAACTACATTAACTGACTGTTTGCGTTGATTAATAATAATTGCTCCAAATACTAAAAAACTGAATTTTGTATGGGCATTAGACAGTGTGATAAAAAGTAACACCTTAAAAATGATATTTCATTTTTTAATAAATGCTTATTTATAACAACAAAGACTTTAATTTGATAACTTATTATTATATTGATTTCTGACTCAAATCCACATTTATTTATAATAATTTATTAACGAACACAATTAAGTATGTAATTAATTAGTATATGGGCGGAAATAATGGTGTTATATTTAATTAATGGTATACTCTTTTATAAAGATTTAAATAGTTTTCTTTTTGCATACAAATGGGCTAGTAATATTATCGTTTTGCTAAAAACGATAATATTACTAGTCTGTACATTTTGTACATTTGCTGCTTTAAAAACAATCTAAAATGTCAATATTCCATGGATATATTGATAAAAGAAGTCTAAATTATAAGAAAATGCATTTTCTACGAAAACTTGAAGGGATAGATAAAAAATGGCATAATACAATTTGATAGACAATTTAATTGTGCATCTGATTCTCCTAAAATATACAGGGCATTCCGTTTAAATTAAAGAAGTTATTGCCGTTTGAAGCTAATAATTATATAAAATAAATTTTTGTAGACACTTTTGGAGTATTATTTTATTATTGCAACACAATAACTGATCAATAAATAAACTTCATTAAATATTTAGTATTAAAAACATTGATACCCTTTGGAGAAATGAAGCTTTAAAATTTTTACTGCAATTTCACAAAATTGAAAATATTTCAAAACGGTAAGGTTTAAGTATAATAAACCTTAATCAAATTTACCTTTATTTTAATCGTAGAAACTAAAAATGTAATAATATACAGGGTGTTCCATTTAAAAAAATACAACTTTGATATTTTTTATTTATTTGGGACACTCTGTATCTTGTAAAAATATTTTTAAATTGTAGCTCTAATAGTCCTTCAACGAACCCCAAACTCAATTTGTAAAAATCTCATCGTTTAGCTACAATACTCCGTGTCGTATGTGGTGAACAACCCTGTATATTTTTTAATTTTTTGGCTTCAAGATTTTTTTACGTATATATTTTTTTTATAAAATACTAGGTATTTTCTCTACTTTGTCTTGTTCAAAAATCTTATAATTTTATAAAAGAATGAAACGTATTCTTTAAAAAAATACAGGGTGGTTTTTTATATGAAATTTTTAAATTTGGTGTTTTCATCTATACCGGGTGTTTTTCAAAAGGCACTCCTATAATTTTTTTTTATTTTTTTTACATAAAAAAAAGAGATTTGGTATTTTAGTATATGACATACAGTACGTCTGTCCGTTCTATAGCTACGGGGTATCCGTGAGAGGGGAAACGATATTCTCTCGATTTTTTTCGTAAAAAATTAGACGACGCGTCCCATCAATAAAAATTCGACAAATTTCCAGTAGCCAATAAAATGAGTGGGCGGAGCGATTTGCGGTGACGTACTCATCAAGTCGACGTATAAAATATATTGTTGTTTATTTAATTGTTTTTTGTCCGCATTCCTTTCATAGACACAAATCCAGCAGACGCACATTAAATGAAGATTCATTGATGCGTTCAATTATATATTATATATTTTGTTAACTTCCTGTTTCACCGGAAATGACTACAATTTTTGGTTTTTAAATGGTACCCCCGGTATTTTTTTACTTTATTTGATAGAAAATGGCATTCTGAATAGAATGACGTATCGTGTGTCATATACTAAAATACCAAATATCGTTTTTTTAGGGGTTAAAAAAAGTTATTGGGGTGAGCTACTTTTGAAAAACACCCGGTATAATATTATTTTAAAATCTTAATTTTATAAACTTATAAAACGTATACGTTTAAATATATACAGGGTATAAATTAATAAATGGCGATACTTTTTTAAAAATAAGGGTGGATTTTCATATAAAAAATTTCAAATTTGGCCTTTACCTACGGTGTTTTTTTCTTTATACAGGGTGAGTCTAAATAAGTGCAAATATTTTTAAGGGGAGTATATTTCGACCCCAGAAACACGAACATGAGGTTCTTTCGCAAAAAAAAAATAATTTCTTTTTCTTTTTTTTTTTAGTTTTTAGTAAGACATAATTTCTTCATAATATGGCAACATAGGTTCTAGATTAAATTCACAAGATAGAAAACCTAGAAAAAATCCAGTGGTTCTCAAAATTTAAGCAAAAATATTTTATTTTGGAAATTTTCAAAATAACTGGGTTATTTTGGATTTATTTGAAAAAGGATAAAGAGAAAATATGTTTCTTTTATCGAGATCTACCAGCCCTGAAAATATTTGCACTGATTTAAGACTCACCCTGTATAGGGCGAACCAACATCACAATACTTTAAAATCTTTTTTTTTTCTCAAAAGAGGATTGTATTAAAAAAATGAAATTAATTTTTTTAGATCAAATGTTGTAGTTATTTCCGGTGAAACAGGAAGTGACCAAATACAATTCAATACGTCAATCAATCCTAATTTATGTCATATACTAACAAACCAAATATGGTTTTTTTATCTGAAAAAATAAAAAAGTTATAGGCCTAGTTATAGGGGTGAGCCACTTTTGAGACTCACCCGGTATATCGTTCTAAAATTGAAATTTATTGAATGTCTTATACATTTTACGAGATGGGAATTTGTAATTGTTTAATTTTTACCAAAAATAAATCTTTTTATATTTTGTTTACCATAATACATATGAGGATGTCAATGTTCTTGTAAATACTGTATGATCGAATAAAAACGGCGTCAGCGGTGGCTATGAATTGAAGATCGCTGTTATTTTATATGTAAAATTCTATGGGAAATGTCATCGATCGTCATTTCGTAGCCATCGCTGACGCCGTTTTTATTCAATCATACGGTAGTTCCTGCTTGTAAAAATTTATCTCTTTTTTATTATTATGTCGTAAAGTTTGAAATCAATATAGTTTCTAATAATAGACAAGTTTATTAAGAATTTAAGGTCAGCCAAGAGAAAACTCACAGTAAGTAGCATGCGACCCTAAAGCCCTGTCTGCACGTAAGGGTTTGCCTGTCAGTCAAAACGTATCAAGTAAAACCTTGTATGTAGACGAAAAAAATGGGCGTTTTACTTGAACTAAACTAAGTCGGAAGAGTCAATTTTTCAGTTTTACAACAAAACTGCAGTTTTATCTACAAAAAAGATGAATTAAGATGAAAAATGCGTGTTTTTTTAGATGGACCACTTAAAGTTAACCCTCCCGGTATCATCACATTCGTCAGGGAGAAAAACGACTTGGTCAGCACACTGGAGTTGCACAACACTGATCCAGCACAACAAATAGCTTATAAGGTAAGAGATATACCTATGTTCAGGCCAAGAGAATAAACGATTCTATAGAGAAATCAATATAAGTTAACGTTCACGTCATCAAAGACATAAATTTAGCGTTATTTTTTTCTTTTTCTTATAATCTTATATTCTGGTAGCACTTTTCTCTTTGACGTTTTCCGATGAACGTGTTGGCACACCCTGTATAATGTAAATCATTATTTCAGTTAAAAACTACGTCGCCGGAGAAGTTCAGAGTCAAGCCCAGTCACGGAAAGTTGCTGCCCGGAGCAAAAGAAAGCGTCACAGTAACCTTGTTGCAAGGATTTCAGCTAGGCGGACTGTCAAAAGACAAATTTTTGGTCATGTGCTGTGTCCTGGACGAAAAGGAAGTCCCCAATTTGGACTTGTCAGAGATGTGGAAGGTAAGCCAAAAAAATCGTTAAAAAAACTTTGAAAAAATATTTTATGTAGATATAGGTAATTTAATATTTTTATATCAACTAATATAACTTATTAATTCTATTTAAATGTTTTTTTTATCGTTTTTAGAATACGGGCAACAAAAAAATCTACCAAAACCGTTTGCGATGCGTACAGAGTGGGGAAATCACCCGAAACGGCAACACTGTCAATCACGTGACGCCAACATCGGACGAGGACAATCACTTAGCGAAATTATCGGCAACATTGAACGAAATAAACGATAATCAAAAAGTGTTGAACAAATCGGTCATCAGGATGCAGAAAATTCAAATTGCCTTATTTGTTTTTTCCGTACTTCTTGGTAAGTAAAAATTAAAAATTTAATTTTAGATAATATGATCTTTTATTTTTTAGGTGTCATTTTATTCAGCATTCTAAACAAATCAATACAAGGCATCTCCACGGAAAACCAGTACTGTTCAAGTCAAAACAAACCGTAACATTAGCTAACGTTCGCAGAGCCAAAAATTGAGGTTACGTTCGTGCAGAGGATAGCTGTCATGATGGTCTGTCAGTTTTTATACGTTTTCTGTACGCTGTTTCTCTAGGTTAGTACGAATTCATTCCGTTTTTGTTGTATCGTTTGTTGCTTGTAGTATTCCTAGCGTCATATACATTTAAACGAATATACCGCATAACTTCTTGTTACAATATTGAAGGATAGATATAGAATATAAATGTTTTCTGCGCTTGTTCGATTCTGGGAGGACTTTGACTGTTCCAAACAGTGTTGCCATATATTTTCGAGCGAATTTCTTCAAAGAAGCCTTAAAAAACCTTCATATTCCTTTAACTTCACAAAAAAAAATCAAGATATTGTGAAAAATCACCAAATTTCGTGTACAGGGTGGCGTCTCTCATACGCCGCGGAAATAGAATTATACAGGGTGTCCTCAAAAAAAAGTTACACATCAAAGTTGTGTTTTTCTAATGGAACCCCCTATATATTAATTGATTTTCGGATTCTAGGAAAAAAATAAAGGTGAGTTTTATTAAAGAAGCATATACCTAAAATTTAAGGATTTTGACATATTTCACATTTTGTGAAAATGAAGAGTAAATTTTAAATTTTGATAACAGCTACCTAAATTTTAGTTGACCTTGTATAGCCTGATATTTAATTACAGTAAGCATTGTATGTTAAATCAAATTAAAATTTGACCCGAAAAGTTATACAGGGTGAGACAAAATTAATATGGAACATTAGTCACTTTTGTAAGCAAGTTACTCCTTTATTTTCCTTTATTTTAAATGGAACACTCAGTATATTTTTCCGGTGTTCGATGGGGAATTTAGAAGATATAGAAGGGATAACTACCTCCATATCTCTGAATAAAACAAAAATTTATACAGGGTGAGACAAAATTAATATGGAACATTAGTCACTTTTGTAAGCAAGTTACTCCTTTATTTTCCTTTATTTTAAATGGAACACTCAGTATATTTTTCCGGTGTTGATGGGGAATTTAGAAGATATAGAAGGGATAACTACCTCCATATCTCTGAATAAAACAAAAATCAATCGAAAACCGACAGTATTTCGGCGCAATCGTATTACTTCCATCTCTTAAAAATATCCACTTATGTTCTTCTCTCCTTCAATACTGGAACATAAATTCTCTCATTGCTTATTCTGGGTAGACCGCAGTATATTCTTTTATATGTATATGATTTTACCGTTATTATAAGTAAGGTAAGGAGGGTTGCATAACGTAGGAATTGTGATAAGAGCTCAATCAATTGTAAATTATGGGCCTAATAAAATGTATATAAGTCTGATTTTCTTCTTAAATTTTTCTATTTTCACTGGTTAATACTGGTCTTCCACAATTTTTTTAAAAATTCATTTTATAAATCATAACAAATAAACTTTTTGTCACGAGATTTACATATTTTCTTTTAATCAAAATAGTTTAAGAAACAAAAATGAATTAATTATAAATAAACTGTTGCTATTTACAGCAACAAAATTCACCTCCTTAGCAACATTTAAGGGACATAAAGGGCCATTATTACCGCTTTCCCGTTCAAAATATTCTAATAGAGATTTTTGCAACGGCTGTTAAGCTGCTTCGGCATCTTGTACAGGGTGTCCCACTAATAATAGCTCTCGGCTGTATCTCGGAAAGTATTAGCCGTAGCGGCTGCCAAAAAACATATTTGTAACTAAAGAGACTATGGGAAATTGCTGGAAATTATTTTCAAGTTTGCAGAACGACCGCTAGGGGGCGCAACTGCAACAAAAAATAAGAAAATGGAGTTTTTACACAATTTTGCCTAGATAAGGTGTACTATACTGGTACAGCTTCATAATCTTCAGTAAATTTTGAATATTTTTTGTTAGAGCCATTTTCCCCTATCTACCAAAATAAAGTGGTGGGGGAAGGTAAGATCTGTTTTTATTTGAATATTAATAACTCTGGACTGGATGATCGGAATCCAACAAGCGGGGGCTCGTTTAAAAGAGCGTTTCTTACCCTATACTTGTACCATATAAACAATAAAAATAAGCTTTTGAACGTAGACGCTAGGGGGCGTTGTCTTACAATTTAACAAACATTGCGCGTTTTCTCAAAAAAATTAAATGCAATAGTATATGTAATTTTAGCTGATAGTAAAGTACTATCTAACAATACATATTACTAACTATTTCTAACTTATTTTTTTGTTAGAATGGGCCTAATCAGGAGGGCTGTATTGTAAAAGTAAGGTAATTAAGGGCTTATTTTTTGGTATATATTATAATTTTCTAATATCTTCGATTTGAAAGAAGATATCAAGATGCGGTTTTACCGCTGACTTTTTAAGCTTTTACTACTCTTTACTACCAGCTAAAATAGCACATACTATCGTATTTAATTTTTTTGAAAAAACGCGCTATGTTTGTTAAATTGTAAGAAAGCGCCCCTTAGCGTCTACGTTCAAAACCTTATTATTATTATTATTATGGTATACTATTGAGTAAGAAACGCTCTTTTAAACGAGCCCTCGTTTGTTGGATTCTGATCATCCAGTCCGGAGTTATTAACATTTATATAAAGATAGATCTAACCTTCCCCCACCACTTTATTTTAGCAGATATGGGAAAATGGTTCTAACAAAAAAAATCCAAAATTTACAGAAGATTATGAAGCTATTATTTATAGTACACCTTATCTAGGCAAAATTGTGTAAAAACTCGTAAAAATGACGTATCTAAAAGTTTATTTGGTATCGCTTATACTTGGAGCGTTACTATGGCTATTGTTAATTATACATATTAAATAATATAAACCATACATATCTAGTCCATTATTATATATGTATATAATTATTGACAATATTTCAGATATATTATGTTCCTAGAACATGTTATAACCTAAAAAAAGGGAATATTACAGGCAACACCAAACTAAGTTGATTTAGTATATTTTGTATGTTATTTGGCTCTGCATTTTTATTTTTAATGTGTCATATTTTTATTGTCATCTGTCATTAAAATAATTAATATCGAAAAATATTCCATATGTTTGTTTATTTGGGATCGCGTGTAAAGATATTAGTATAATAAGGTCCTATATGATATGAACAATCAGAAAAATATTGTATAAAAAAAAACGAAACATACACAAAAAATTGCTGTTTTTCCTATAAAAAGATGAAAATTGATAATTAAAATTATGTAAATAAAAATCTGCTGTGAGTATATGAGGGCATTCAAAATACTAATTAAATCTTTTAAAAATAGACAGATTTTTTATTTAAAACTGTCACAATAACTGTCAGAAGGTTCATGATGATGTTTATAAGTATGTAACCAACATCACGCCAGTCCTACAAATATTTACCGCCAAAATAATATAACCTCTAAATGTCGTATACATAAGGGCTATGTTCGAATCACTTTTCTTCAGGACTTGAAGCGTATTGCTGGTTGCATATGCAATGTTATATTTTCATATTTTTGTTTTTTCTTTATCGTGGTTGTAGAGGTAGTAGTCCTAACCAAAAGTATTAAAAAGAAATATAATTGGCCTAAAATAGTTTGTTTAGGCTTTAAAACACTTAAATTTATAATGAATTTGTATCAGTTATATGTTTGTCATTGTTTAGTTTATGCACGATTTTATAGATATTATATACTATTTTGTAATATAAAAGCTTGTAATATTGTTAATAATAAAAACGTTAACGCATGTATGTCTTTAATTTTTCCTTAAATTATGTTATTTGAGAATTACATAGGTTGTAGATTAAATTTACAAGAAACAAAACCCAAAAAGATCCAGTGGTTCTCAAAATTTTAATAAAAAAATAATTTTTCTCTAAATTTTCAAAGCAAAATAACTCGGTTATTTTGGACATATTTGAAAAACGGTAAAGGGAAAATATTGTTAAGGTGTATGTGGCGCTAAACTGTATTACTGGTTGCCTACCTTACCGCAACGTGTTAAGAAAAATGGCGCATTCGCCAGAAAGTAAAAGAATATTACAGAATTCTTCAGAACGTTCCAGAAACACTAGCCTGAGAGTATATAAAGCCCGCGCTTGGCAGTGGGACCAGTTTGAAGTTTGAATATACCGCGTTTGGAAGTTGTGAATTAATTGACGAAGGTGCCAGAGTTAGAGTAATAGTAGTTGCATAAATTGTGTTTTATAATTAGTATAAATTGTGTATACAGAGTGAGAAAGAAATAAATTCGTTAAGTATATTATCGTGAGTTTAAATTAGTGGACCCACGGAATCCGTAACAATATGTTTCTTTTATCGAGATCTACGGACCCTGGACATATTTGCACTTATTTAAGATCCACCCTGTATAGACAGTACTTGAATCGAAATCGCAGAATCACAACTGTCAAAGCGACTGGTCTCGATTATTCCAGATCATCTGATCAATCAGTACTACATGACTGACAAAAAACTCGCACTTTTACTGTTAGGCGGTACAATATTAGCCCTCTGTCAGCTAGTTTGTTTATAAAAATACGTTTCTGTAAAATAACGTAATACTTACTTTATTAAGGTTTTTGGTTTGAATTGTTTCACAATGTAATAGTCCATATTTCCATATACACAAGTAGAAACACAAAATATTAATTTTTCTAAATATTTTTCACCTTATTTTTGATATCGAGAACACTTTAACTGGTTTTTTTAGACGTGTTAAACCACTGTTGTATCGTTAAATTACTCTATTTTTATTTTTTAATTATCTTCAAAACAAGTTGAATCTAGAACAAAGGTCAGTTTTTCATAAAAAAAAGTATCGAAACATTGCTGAAATTAATTTTACCGTTAATTATAGGGTGGTCCAAATTAATCTTATGGTACTATTTTCCTTTTTTTTTTAGGGTCCGGCAATAGTGCGTCGGGAATCTGTTGTAGCTCCTAGAATAAAAAACTTGGGAATTTTTTTTAAGTGTAAACCTAAAGTATGTACTAGGATGTATTTCAGGAAAATATTTTTACTTCTATAGGGTGGCTCAAAAAAGTGTGAGTGGGTCGGGATGATTTTTTTTAAATGGAACACCCTGTATATTGTTGCATTTTTGGTTTCCTTTCAGATCACTTTACATAATCCTAAGATATGAATAAATATATGTGGATAGTTTCAGAGATATTAATAAATAAAAAATATTTATATTTGTCAATCTTCATTAAAAAAAATATTACAAATACCAAGAACTGTCCTGAAATCAAAACTATATTAGATATTTACTTTATATGGTCTATACTTAACTTTGCTATAAATATCGTAATCTTAAATCATACAGGATGTTCAAAATTCTACGCCAAACTTTCTCAAATATAAAATAATTTTTCTTTGTATGTATGTATGTATGTAATTGTCTTTATTTCCCACAAAAATAATTACAAGAGAAGTAATGATATAATAAATACATGAGCATAACAGTATATTATTTTTTATTAGATGGAGAATTAAAAAATAAATTGTGGAATACTCTAAATACAAAAAATGTTCATTTTTTAATTCTCCATCTATTGAAAAAATAATATACAGGGTGTTCCATTAAAAAAAACGAAGAAAAAATATTTTATATTTTAGAAAGTTTTGCCTAAAATTTTGTAACATCCTGTATGATATACGATTACCATATTTATAGCAAAGTAAGTACAGACCATCTAAAGTAAATATCTAATATAGTTTTGATTTCAGGACAGTTCTTGTATTTTTAATAATTTTTTTTAAGAAAATCTGAAAAATATATATATTTTTTTATTTATTTATTAATATCTCTAAAACTGTCGAAATATATTTACTCATATCATAGGATTATGTAAAGTGACCTGAAAAGAAGCCAAAAATGCAATAATATACAGGGTGTTCCATTTAAAAAAGTTCATCCCGATCCACTCACACTTTTTTGAGCCACCCTATAGAAGTTAAAATATTTTCCTGGAATACATCCTAGAACATACTTGAGATCTGCACTTAAACAAAATTCTCAAGTTTTTTATTCTAGGAGCTACAGATGCCCGACGCACTATTGCCGGACCCTGTATTGCACGGCATATACGGGGTGAATCAAAACTTGATGTATTTTTCTCTAATATTTTAAATAAAAGTTGATCAGGTGGTCCCAGAAAAACGAATCGTCTTAGGTGATTTTTAATGTCACCAAAGGATGAAGCTAAAAAAGTTTTTTCGAGTATACAGGGTGGTCTGGACTGTATTCCGGAAACTTCGGCAGCATATTCTGCAGATAAAAATAAGTAAAAAAGTTCGTATAAATGTATGTCCTAAAATGTTTAGTTTCGGAGATACAGGGTGTAGAAGTTTCATTTTTATTTCAATTTTTCCAAATAATTTCTGCAGTAACGTCAATATTTGCATTAAAATTGGTGTCTGGGAGTTTTTTGACATGAGAAATTTGATTTTTATGTTAATATGACTTCTACTAGTAGAGGGCGCCACCTACATATTTTTTATCTGGTTTGGAGAGTAATAACTTTTCGTCCGTATCTGTATAAAACGACCGAGTAAAAAAATATACATTTACGACGTTTTTTACGTAAAAAATGTCTTTTTGTAAAAATCGCTACGAGTATTGGTTTTCGAGATATTTGAAATCGAAATTATCAATACCTGTCATCATTGACATAAATTAAACATGTTGACTAAATAGTTATTAGACTGACATCATAAATTTAAAAGTTTTTGTGCCAAACTTTCAACAGAAACTGTTTTATCATTATTTTTTTTGCAGAAAAATTTATGATAAATTAATAAATAAATTTACTCCCAGGCACCAATTTTCATCCAAATATTTACGTTACTTCAGAAATTATTTCGAAAAAATCGAAATAAAAATGAAACTTCTACACCCTGTATCTCCGAAACTAAGCATTTTAGGACATATATTTATACGAACTTTTTTTACTTATTTTTATCTGCAGAATATGTTGCCGAAGTTTCCGGAATACAGTTCGGACCACCCTGTATATTTCTAGATTTTTTTCTGATAATAGGTTTGTTCCAACACAGAAATTTTATACCGTTCTTAGAACGATAATTGGGATCGCCAGCATCGGATTTGTACACAACATGTGTCGAAATATATTACAGTTCCTTTATTTACAATTATTTGAAAAAATAAGAAGACTAAATAAAAAAAACAATAAAGCAATCAAATCTCTGTAAAGTATATACAGGAAAAATACAACATCACCGAAGTTAAACACCTCAAAGTTATCTAAAACTAGATATAAATTATATGTACAATTATAAACTGTTTTTTTTATACATACAACAATAAAGACAGTTCTTTTAATCCGTCTATATCACAATCGACCCTAATTCAAGATTAAAACTAAAAGTAAACTGTTTTCAAACAGAAATCTAACAGAAAATTGCGTATTTTAACCACATTACACAAAAAACACATTTTTTACCCTGTATTTTGAATTATTGAAACAGAATTAATGTTAAATCAGTTCAATATGCCCGATAACAAAAATAAAATTGACATATGTCATGTTACAACTGTCATGGATGGCGCCAACTTACAACGGTACCGTTAAAACTTGTAAAAAGTGAGGTTAGATGACAAGATATCGTAAAAGTGTCAAAGAAAAATGTTTTCAAAAAATTAACAGGGGTTTTCAAAACATATCATAGTTTTGAAAGTCCCTGTATATTTACGAAAATTGTCACACATTTGTGAAATCGAATTCTGAACAACTTTTCTCTATGACACTTTCGATATCTTGTCATATAACCCCAATTAACACATATTTAAATGGTATTACTCTTAATATGGCTTCTATGACAGCTGACACTTGACACATGCCAATTAATTCTACATAAAATATTAGATTTCCTAATTTTTGTTAATTTCCTTTAAAAATAAACGTAAAGACAATATGAACAGAAATAATAGTCCAATTCCTTCCAGTGTTTTTAGTGTATTACGCTTAAACTTTGTAATTTTCAAGTAACACCAAAGGTTCCAACCCGCAGTGTAGAAATCTGGCAACAGTGGTACGAAACCCAGCCGTTTTTTGACATTTCGTCATACTTGTGATTCATATAAAACCGTCATTTGTACTGAAGATTGAACTAGAGTAACGAAATTTTAGGACAACTTTTTTTTTACGTATTTCTTAGGGTAGGCCGAGTTCCTAGCTCAGTCCATGTTTGAAAGTAGGGTTAGGGTCTCTCTTTGGTCGTCTTCCTCTTCTTCCTGCAATAAATATACCACCGTTTTAACAATTTTCGGCTTTCGGACGATCTTTGAGTAAAAATATTAAGGAGCATATCAACATATGTCCTATAATGGCTGACTTAAATTTCGGTTTATCAGTGCCGGTCTTAATTTATTGAAAACGTGTAAAAATATGATGTAGGGTAGACTCAATAATTTGTTGTTTTATTTTACGTTGTCAATAAATGTTGGTAGTTAATAAAATTGTTATAAAAATATATAATTCTAATAAAAATAGATAAGTTATAATAATTATTTATTAACACAAACATCTGATACGCTACTGAAGCAGATAAGTCAAATTGACGTATCTAAATTCTATGACAAATACTAAATATGTAAAAGCAAAAATGCAAAAAAATATGTAATTACATATACGAAATAATATACATGTACTGATTTCTTTCGAAAATCGACAACTATGAAACTATGAAGGAAATTGTAGAGAGAAACAAGCCCTATAACATAGGATACAACATTTTAATGAGCAGTGCTTTCCATAAAATCAATAAAATGAAAAATATACGAAATAATATACATGTACTGATTTCTTTCGAAAATCGACAACTACGAAACTATGAACCCTTCCCGGACACAAACGGTACATTGTGAGACAGGAAATTGTAGAGAGAAACAAGCCCTATAACATAGGATACAACATTTTAATGAGCAGTGCTTTCCATAAAATCAATAAAATGAAAAATATACGAAATAATATACATGTACTGATTTCTTTCGAAAATCGACAACTATGAAACTATGAACCCTTCGGACACAAACATTTTGTTGAACAGGAATTATCAGAAGAAACAAACCCTATAACATAGGTACAACATTTTAATGAGCAGTGCTTTCCATAAAATCAATAAAATGAAAAATATACGAAATAATACCATGTACTGATTTCTTTCGAAAATCGACAACTTCTGGCTTCATAGACCCTTCGGACTAAACGGTACATTGTGAGACAGGAAATTGTAGAGAAACAAGCTACAACATAGGATACAACATTTTAATGAGCAGTGCTCCATAAAATCAATAAAATGAAAAATATACAAATAATAACCATGTACTGATTTCTTTCCGAAATCGACAACTATGAAACTATGAACCCCTTCGGACACAAACGGTACATTGTGAGACAGAAGTATGAGAGAGAAACAAGCCCTATAACATAAGATACAACATTTTAATGAACAGCGCTTTCCATATAATCGATAAAATGAAAAATATACGAAATAATATACATGTACTGATTTCTTTCGAAAATCGACAACTACGAAACTATGAACCCTTCCCGGACACAAACGGTACATTGTGAGACAGGAAATTGTAGAGAGAAACAAGCCCTATACATGAGAATCAAGCTTTATAGGGTCAGAGATACAAAAAATAAAGAAAAACAGTAAATTTGACAGACAGAAGATAACTTACGTCAAATCCGAAACAGTTCTGCATGTCGGCCTCAGTGGTGGCGATATCGGGTTTCTTGTCTTCATCATCATCATCATCTTCTTCTTCTTCTACACTGGCTTTGTTTATCCGCCTGGCCGATTGCAAAGCCTTGATGACATCATCGTCCAACTCTGTAAAAACCAAAATTACATATTAAAAAATAAAACAACCAATTTTTTTGAAGGTTTCTCTATACCTCCATCTTGCATCACGCCATCCATACCAACGATACCGTCGCTGTTTTCCGAACCCACTACCATCGCTTGTTCTTCACCCTCTGCTAGTTGTATAACCTCTAAAACTACGTATTGTTGTCCATCTGAACCTTCTACGGCCATCATGTCGATCTCTTCTTCTTCGTCCGATGCTAAACCAGGGCTTATCACTTCGACCTGCGAAGAATACCATCAGAATTATAGAGGGTGTTCAAAAAACAAAATTTCAATGTCATCATCAAACTTCGACTCACCTGTTGACCATCAATCATCTGAATCTTTTTCTGTCTGCCCAACTTCAATTCCAGTTGTTTCTGTTGAATCTGTGGATCAGGATCGTGAGCTGCCATATGCCTAAGTAAATTTCCTTAAAAAAAAACACAAAAAAATTGATTCTCATGAAAATCGGCCTTAAAAAGCTACTATGACACCGTTTTATTTCGATTATATGGTAAGAAAAATCAAAAATTGAACAAACCTTTGTGAGTGAACGTTCGCGAACACTCGGGACACTCGTGAGTTTTATCTCTAGGCTTTGGTGGAATATATTCAGGGTTGTGATATAGATTTTGATGTCTCCTCAATAATTGTTTTTGTCTGTAAAAAATACATAATTAAAAACCGAAGAAATAAAAAATTGAGAGCAATGTTACCTAAAGGAATGATCACACAAATCACATTCGTATGGTTTTTGATCCGTGTGAATCAGCATGTGTGATTCTAGATGCCTGGCCGATGTGGAAGCGTAGGGACACAGGTCACACTTAAAGCATTTTTCGCCTTCGTGAGATTTATTGTGTAGCTGAAAAACAAAAATAGTTATTTTTTATACAAGACGATAATGCAATTTTATCGTCGGGTATAAAACAATATTTTTTTCCATAGCGAGTTACGTTTTAAAAAATATTCCGAAATTATTATTTCAAGGAATTTATTACGAGTAGAAAAATATTGTGCTGGTTTGGCGTTGGTTTCTATGTAATTTCACAAATAAATAAAGCTGTCTCTTTAGTTGTCAGTTTTGAGTCAATATTTTTTTAATTCTCTTTCGTGTCGATTGCTGATTGAATTGAAGCCAGAAATGGCTCAAAACGAAATAAGTAAATTACCAACAGATATTCAGGCTGAGGCGACAAACGCCATATCCACACTACTTCCATTTCAATCCCGAATAACTTATGAAAAGGAATACAAAAATTTTCAAAAATGGAAGCAATTAAAAAACGTGCGAGAAGAAATAAAGTTTTCAACCTATCCTCGCTGTTGTATCATTTAATCTACCCTTGGGGTTAAAGTACTATTTTATCTCCTATTTTTGATAGATATAAGGCACTTTTAACAGTTGCCATGAAAAAAAGAAATAAATATACATCATTAATTAAAAAACAGTGCTATATTTGTTGAAAATAAGTGTTAAACCACTGAGGAAAAAAATAAAAATACTTAAAACACTTAGATCAAAAAGTAGTTCAAATGTCCCAATCAACAATATCAAATTTTCTTAATACAAACGTTACATTTTAAATTAAAAAAGTACGTACCTTGTAGCTGTATCTGTCTGGAAAGGATTTGCCACATCTTCTGCATTTTAGTGGTTTATCCGATGTATGTAGCTTCTGAACGTGAATTCTTAAGTCGGTTTTTCTGCCACAAGTTGTCGGACAGAGGGCGCATTGAAATATTGGTTTGTCACCGACTAAAAATATAAAATAACGCATTTAGTACCATATAAAAATGTTATATTACAGACACTGTATAAAAAAATTCGTGGGTGCGTCTTAAAAGTGGCTCATCCCTATAACTTTATTTTGTCAGAAAAAAAAAAACGAGATTTAGTATGTTAGTATATGACATAAATTAGGATTGATTGACGTATTCAATTGTTTTTGGTCACTCCCTGTTTCACCGAAAATGACACTCTGAATAGAATGACATATCATATGTCAACTTTTGTCATTTTTGCTTAAAAAAACGTATTTTAAATTTCAATCTAGGGTTTAAAAATACTTATTTTTAATCAAGGAGCCTTGGAAAAATAGATTTAATCGTCTAATGTTTTTAGTGTCTTGTCCTGGCCGGTTAAAAGATGTCCAAATCGTATTTTTAATCATATCTCATTTTTTTCAAATGGAACAATGGTGGCTCATTAGCATGTTTAAAAAAAGCATTTTTTTACGAATAATTTGGTACCACACACTTGGTATTTCGAGTCAAATTGTCATTACGAACCGCATGTTACAATTGCGAATACAATGCGAAAATGTCAAAAGTTGACATATGATATGCCATTCTATTTAGAGTGCCATTTTCTATCGAATAAAGTAAAAAAATTCCGAGGGTGTCATTTAAAAATCAAAAGTTGTAGTCATTTCCGGTGAAACAGGAAGTAACCAAAAACAATTGAATACGTCAATCAATCCTAATTTATGTCATATACTAACATACCAAATCTAGCTTTTTAATCTGAAAAAAATACAACCTTTGAGACGCACCCGGTATAGTTTAAGGGCAGAATTCGACAGATGATGTCAAAAAAAGACAGATGACGTCCATACAATACCATATAAATAGTTAAGTAATCATGTGATATAAGTTTACTCACTTACAAAAAATAATTAATATTAAAAATTCTTAAAAAAATATAAAGTAGGCATATTGTCCCATACACAGGAGGGATTAAAAAGTGTAAAGGAGATCAAATTTTTCAAAATACATATAAAGTTACGTAGTATGATTCTTTTCTTAATATACTCAGCAAATATAAACTATATAACAACTTACTGTTATGTGTGAGCTTGTGAGCCTTCAAACTGTTACTCTGAGTAAACCTATTACTGCAAATGTCACAAACGTAAGGTTTCTCCCCTGTATGAATCCTCAGATGCCTCTTCAGTTTAAACGTGTCGGGACTGGCGTAGGTACAGTGCGGGCATTGGTATGGTCTTTCGCCAGTGTGACACCGGATGTGACGTTTCAACTTTGACAGCTCTACGCTGGCGTAGTCACAGTCCGAACACTTGTGAGGCTTCTCGTGAGTGTGACGGTATCTCACGTGACGCACCAATTCACCTAGTGGACATTTTGATATAATCAATACGAATCTAAGGGCTCGAACTCACTGACGACCAGGTCGCAACGACCTGGCCGTCGGCTGGCCGGATATATTGCGTTTATAGCTGCGGCCAGATGAACGACCAGTTTCAACAGACTTGTCAGATCGAACGATTTTTTACGTTTTACCAATTAGAAAATATTGTTTCAGAAAGAATTAAGTTTCAGAAATGTTAAAATATCCGAGTTAACTAAAAAGCGAAGTTGCCATTTATGAGCTTATTAAATGTTCTAATATTAAGTAATGCATTTAAAATATTCTTGAATTTTTCGTTAATAAATACTGGTGTGGTAAATGGACTAAGTAAAATCTCCAACCCGGACTAAACGATAACATCGTTATTTCCATGTTTTTCAAATCCGCGATGCCTGCTATTCCATCAGTCGTTTCATAACAGAATATTCTACATCCTACGTCTATGTAATTTAATGTGTAGAGTGAGACATGTAACTCGTGAAATTTTCAGCATTATATCAATAAAGGACAAAAATAGTATTGTTCCTAAAAGTGCGTCCAGACTTAGGCATTTTAGAACGAACGAACGAACCGAGCGCGCACGAACTAGCAGAACAAACAGGCCGAACAAAAAGCATTGTGTACGCGCGACCGACAAAAAGGGAGATATTCTGTTTCTTTTTTCTACTGATATGGACTTCTACTGATGGTTCTTATCGACTTTAGAAGTAAACATATTAGGGCCATCGGAAAAAAAGGTCGTCAGACACTGGCTCTAAATATAAGCAGGTAGAAAGTTTAGCTTCCAGTTATTTCAATGTTTAAAATATAAATTCCTCTTTTTTATTGTTACTGAGAATCTACAACAGTAAATACTTCTATTTTTATGAATGTTTAAGTTACTTTTACTCTTAATATTTTTAAAAATAATGTACCTAGTAGAAATATAGTCTAATGGACCATGTTTGAAAAACGTTAAATTAAATATAATATTTGAAATACAGTTGTCCTCCTTGTACATGACTACAATACAACTAAAAAAAATAATTTAATAAAAAAAACAAGTGGTTGTAGAAAAACTTCAAATGATTTTTTTATTTTTTAACATCGAAACTCGAAGGTATAATAATAGGTATCATACCAACCCTAAATAGAGTATGTCATATAAAAATGTTTCAAATTTTTACTAGAATCGACCCTTGATAAAAAAGGGACTAGATTTAAGTTTCCTTTGATTCAGTCTGTATATTATTTCTTTGGATTTTCTGCAGGTGTGCAAAAACACAAAGAATTCCTGTTAGCTAAAGTTGTCTTAATCGTTGGAGTATTTGGAGCATGTAGGAGAGAAGAAATCACGTTTTTGACCGTATATGCCATTAAAGATTGTCAGTCATTTATTAGTGTGAAGATTCCGAATACAAAAACTCATTTTCCAAGAGTGTTTACGATTACTGAAAATTTATAATAAATAAATATTTTCTAATACTTTTAGGCACTAGTGCCTAAACAAGTGTCACTTTTAGTTACTAGTGCCTAAAAGAATGTCAAAAACTGTCAATTTCGAAACGCTTTCACAGAAAATAATTTTTAGCACAGTATTTTTTTCTTTCACTTACCTGATGTAGTGAACGCGGCCTCGCAATAGGAGCAAGCGTGCGGTTTGGTTCCTGTGTGAGTGTTCACGTGATTTTGCAGGGAAGCCAGGGTTTTAAAACCCCGTTCACATACGCTGCACTTGTGAGGCCGTTCTTCTGAATGGGATTTCATATGCCTGGATAACAGGTACCTATAAAAAAACAACTTGGTTTAACAAAATCTATTCTGTTTAAATGTTTTGTTCATTATCCATGTTGGGGATTTATTTTTAAATTAATGTTAATCGTTAGGCCACCAGTATTTCTTTTGCATAATCAAAATTGTTACTCTAAATTTTACATAACCAAATTGTCTTATATGTAAAAATAAGGTAATTATTTTTACAACACGGTATCAGTAGCCCTCTTAATTATGGCTATTCTAACAAAAAAATAAGATAGAAACAGTTAGTTTATTTTAAAATCGACGAAATACCATAATACCAGATGTATTAATATCTAATAATTAAGATATTAATAACAGTGAACAAGAAACGATGATTTAGTGAAGCCATAGTAGGCTTTGGAAAAAGGTTGCTTTTGTCGTAATAGTATAAACGTCGAATTGCTATTAGATCAACATTTTGATAGTATTATCAGCGTTTTTTATCTTTTAATTGCTTTTTTAAAATGCCTTTATTATTTGAAATAGTTGAAGTTGTTAGCATTTTGAAAAGGCAATTAAAAGATAAAAAACGCTGATAAGACTATCAAAATGTTGATCTAATATCAATTTGACGTTTATACTATTACGTCAAAAGCAACTTTTTTCCAAAGCCTACCATGACTTCACTGAATCATCGTTTCTTGTTCACTGTTATTAATACCGTATGATCGAATAAAAACGGCGTCAGCGATGGCTATGAAATGAAGATCGCTGTCATTTTATATGTAAAATTATATGGGAAATGTCATCGATCTTCATTTCATAGCCATCGCTGACGCCGTTTTTATTCGATCATACGGTATCTTAATTATTAGATATTAATACCTTTGGTATTATGGTATTCTGGTATATCGTCGATTTTAAAATAAACTAACTGTTTCTATCTTATTTTTAGGTTAGAATGGGCATAATCAAGAGGGCTACTGATACCGTGTTGTAAAAATAAGGTAATTAAGGGCTTATTTTTTGGTATTTATTATAATTTTGCTAATATCTTCGGTTTGAAAGAAGATATCAAGATGCGGTTTTCGCTGACTTTTTAAGCTTTTACTAGTCTTTACCATCAGCTAAAATTACATATACTATTGTATTTAATTTTTTTGAAAAAACGTGGAATGTTTGTTAAATTGTAAGACAACGCCCCCTAGCGTCTACGTTCAAAAGCTTATTATTATTGTTTATATGGTACAATATAGAGTAAGAAACGCTCTTTTAAACGAGCCCTTCGCTTGTTGGATTCCGATCATCCAGTCCAGAGTTATTAATATTTAAATAAAAACAGATCTAACCTTCCCCCACCAATTTATTTTGGTAGATAGGGGAAAATGGCTCTAACAAAAAATATTCAAAATTTACCGAAGATTATGAAGCTATTACTTATAGTACTCCTTATCTAGGCAAAATTGTGTAAAAACTCCATTTTCATATTTTTTGTTGCAGTTGCGCCCCCTAGCGGTCATTCTACAAACTTGAAAATAATTTCCAGCAATTTCTCATAGCCCCTTTAGTTATAAATATTTTTTTCCGTAAACCCTACGGCTAATACTTTCCGAGATACAGCCGAGAGCTACTCTTAGTGGGACACTCGGTACAGCATCAAGTTTTTTAGCAACGGACGGCAAGGCTAAACCTATGCAAAGTCCAGAGACTAGCATGTGTTTGCATCACAGCAGCCACGAGAACCTGTCCAACAGCAGCAATGGAGGTCATTCTAGATCTAACACCACTGCACATTGTCATTGGTAGATATGCCAATGCGACAATGATTAGAATGGTCACTAACGGAATTAGTACTGGGAGAATTGTCAGATCAGGGGCTTGGAACACCCTCAAAAAGGAAATACCACTTCTGCAACTCTCAGTGGACGATATGCCAAGAACGTACAACTTTGACAAACATGTCAATGTAGTATTGAGCAATAAGAAGGATTGGAAGAGCGAAACGCTTGCCCAGCAGTTAAAAGACCATACCATAACTTGGTATTCTGATGCTTCCAAAACCAATACGGGAACAGGGATCGGAGTGTTTGGGCCGAGAGCTAATTACTCCGAACCAATGGGCACTTACCCTAGTATCCAACAGGCAGAAATCTACGCTATCGAGAGATGCGTACAACTTATCTTAGATAGGAACTATCGGAAACAAGAAATAGCCATCTTGTCTGATAGTCAAGCAGCGTTAAAGGCGATCAACTCAGTATAAATCAATTCGAAATTGGTCAAAGAATGCATAGAGAAGCTGAATAAATTAGGCAAAGAAAACAAAGTCCTCCTACACTGGGTGCCTGCTCACCAAGGGATAGTAGGCAATGAAAAAGCAAATAATCTAGCTAGGAAAGGAGCGAACACTCCACTAACTGGACCAGAACCGTTCTGCTTTCCAAGTGGTAACCAACTCAAGGCGGAACTCAAGAACTTGGAAGATTCCATCCGCAACCTGGAATGGAAATCTTGCAATGGTCTAAGACACTCGAAGAAGTTTCTGAGGGCTTATGATCAAGAAAAATCACAGATCTTCCTGGGTCTGAGTAAGAACAATCTTCGGATTGTCACGGGGTTTTTAACAGGACACTGTCTCCTCAATGAACACCTCAGTAGATTGAAACTAAGAAGAAACGGCGAATGCAGATTCTGTGGGGAAGATGGGGAAACACCAGTACACCTCATCACTGAGTGCGCCGAGACGACAACCATTCGTGCCATGAATTTTGGTACGACTGATATTGGAGATGGAGAACTACCCTCTATAAAACCGTCCCAGATACTGGCTTTTATCAAAGCCCTGGGACTGTATGATGAGTTATGATTCAAGAAAGGGGGACACAATGGATCTGTAAGGTCGAAGTGATTAACCCCCCTCCCACTCATTCTAAATTCTAAAAAAAAAATCTAAAAATCAAGTTTTTTATAGTGATTTTCTTAGCCGCGTATGGCACAGATCGTTACCCAGTGTTGCTACAAGCTTATTTTAGACGTGTGTCACGGTTTTGAATTTTTACTCCCAATGCGCGTAAAGCCTAGTTCATGCACTTGCGAATTACGATTTACGAATTACGAAATGCGTTCTGATTAGACGCCTTCAAGTAAGACCTTGAAAGTGACCAATTGCAAGGCAAACAGAACGCATTTCGCAATTCGCAAGTGCTTGAACTAGGCTTAAAGAAGGTTTACTTCAATAAGTACATGGTGTTAATATGTGTTCAAATTTGTTGTATAAGAGTGTGAGTACCTTTTGGAACTGGTATAATTACAGTAGTTACACATGTGAGCTTGTGACACGCTCTGTGATTTTCTCGGGAACACTTTGACGATTTTTGATTTGTCGTCCTCGGCGTCTGAGTCCATTTGAACGCTGCCATCTTGATCGTCAAAATCGTAAACTAAAAATTACAAAAAAAAATTGTTAGTATTTACAGGGTGTCCGAAATTCGAGACTCAAATTGTAAAATATTATACCTGCCATATCCTGATCATCCTCATCCTCATCATTATCATTGTCTTTCAAATCAGGATCTTGAACGATGAGAACGTAACTGAGTTCGCCAGAATTGTTATCGGCAGGAACTACAGTCACTCTTTGGAAAGCGTTGCCTGAGTTTATTAAAATTTGATTTTCGTTGCTAGGTCCACGCTATAAGAAAAAAAAATATGTTTGTAGGGAAAAAATTATAATATGGAAGAAAAATAAGTAGTGTCAGTGAAAAAAAAACATTCTCCAAAAATATCCATATGTATGGTAATCGCAAAACAATTTCCGATGCACGTCACCAACTTTGAGTGACAAACGATGGCGACAGCGCTGCCAGATTGTGATGGATTTACGAGATGAATCTTATATATTTATTATATCATATTTTAAAGATTTTTACGTTTTATTTTTAATTTAATAACTAATATTTTAGTGATTAATTGATTTATTTGTTTTATAGCTTATTTTACTTATTACATATTGGCAAAAACTAGTCCATTATGAAGATTATTATAAGCGTTATTATGGGTTATTTATTTATTGATGTACATCTTACAACGCCATTAAGTGGTAATAACAAATATAGTTTGTGAAACGAATAACTTTGAATTTGACAGTTCCCGCGGGCTTTTCTAGTGTTAATTTTATTAGGTTAGCAACTTGCGGGCCATGCTGCTGCAATGCCGTCTCTAATAGAACAGCCTCGGCGCGAGATTTCTGACGTCACGCTAGTTAGATACTACGGATTAATTATGTTGTAGAATACATGGAAAATATAATTATTCCTCGTATATGTAATTTTTTGGATTATATTCGACACTATTTTTTTCATATGATACAACACTGATGAAGGCTATAAACGTTAGCTATAACGTTTTTTTAAATCAAAAAAAAAATGAAAAACCAAATGAAAACTTAATCAGGGTTTTTCCCGAACCTAAATCCCAAGAAAATCAAAAATTTTAGAATAATTTTACATATAAAATGACAGCGATCTTCATTTCATAGCCATCGCTGACGCCTTTTTGTATTATTTGCAAATATAATTTTTCGAACATTGATGCTTACAAAATATACATATAAATTTTGTGAACGCAAATTAATAATACATCACTATTAGTAGATATTGAATGTTTTTGTTAAATTAGATCGATTTTCAAACCCCAATATTTAAAATATATTTTACATTTTACCCATTATCATATGTACCTATTCATTATTTGTATATTGTAAAACATTTGATGCATTTGTATGGTTCATAGTCTATTTGCCAAAGTATTTATTACTATAAATAGGTATATATATTGTATTTATTAGAGAACAACGGCATACGGTCGAGTCGGCCTACAAACACGGAAACGTTTACGGACGCATGCGCATTTCTTATATTTTTTATTTTTTATACACGTAAAAGATGCTTTACGTCTACGTATACGTGGCAGCAGCGTCCGACTCGACCGTATACCGTTGCTCTCTATTAACTGTATATTATGTATAATTCATGTAAACTATATCATTTTTAAAATACAAACCAAAAATACGAGGAATAATTATGTTTTCCGTGTATTCTACAACATATCGTCCCATTGCTGCCAAAAGTCACTAACTTACTTTTTATTACTTCCGAGAAAAATGCGTCTAAAAATGAATTGCATTGCATAAAGATGTTATAGTTAGTAACTATTCGGTATTAAAATAAAACATAAATAGCCAGAAATCGTAGTTAATGACTTTTGCAATCGATTCTCCGCTTCAAAACAAGTTAGTGTTTGAATTTGGTTGTTCGGAAAAATGTTAGTTAGTGACTTTTGGCAGCAATAGGACGATATTTATTAATCCGTGGTATCTAACTAGCGTGACGTCATAAATCTCGCTCCAGGGCTGTTCTATTAGAGACGGCATTGGTCTGATATAGAAACGTCAAAGGCTGATGACATTTTACTTTTGTCAATTATGACATTTCGCGTTGATTTTTGCAAGAAGAGGAAGAACTGTCACTTGTTTTATTATTTTCCTTTCCTATTTCACGAAAGTATATCTGATTCGTTCAGGCACTCATTTTAAAGAATATCAGTAACTTTTTGGATAGAGGGCTTTTATATATGCCATGTTGGTAAAAAATAACGGTCAAAATTCCAAAGTTATTCATTTTATAGACTGTAAGAGGGCGCTATTAATGCACAAACTAATAATCACAGAATTTAATAAAAACTATCTTTGAAATTGGTATAATGTGCTTATCAATCAAACTTACTTTTCTGGCTACAGTCAAGGATAATAATAATAAAGGACCTTTATTGTCACGTTCTCGTTCAAAATAGTTTAAAAAAAAAACAGGGAAGCTACAAGCTCTTTGCTTCGACTATTTAAATGCTTGGGCATATTTTCAACACAATTTTTCAAGAAATGCAATACAAAAGCTCGAAAATTTAGTTCTTAAAAAAAAACTATGAAAATAGGCAAAAAACGAAAATTACTCACAAAGATTCAACAACAACACAATATTATACAAAATAATGACTGACACTAGGATAATTGTCAAACAATAATAAAGGACAACATTGCTGAACACGGAGCAATTGAGCAACATAGCGATAATAAAATTCGGTGAAAAAAAAAATAATTAAAATTAAAAAAAAAATTTGGGACACCCTCTATAACGTTTTACCTGACAGATGTAAAATTTGAAACACCCGGTATATTATACCAAAATAATTATTACTAAAATTTAATTTTATAGGTGTTTCACCTACAAAAAGGTAATCTGTCAAAAAAACTAATAAAAACAACATTCACAAAATTCTAGTGATTACAAACCAAGTAGATATACGTATATTGGAAAAATAAACTTAAAACTTACCTCTTCTTGGTCATCATTGGTCTCATTCTCCTCATTGTCAGCGTTAATAATGTACTCGTCCCCTTCATCCGATGCAGCCTGTTGTGGTAAGGCTGACATAACCGTCATGACTGGCTGCGCATCTCCCTTGGCTTGAAAATAGTAGTGACCGGCTTGATCGACAAAGTAAGTACCTTCCTCTGTTTCATTTTCATTTTCCTCACCTCCTAAAATCGATATTTTTATTCAGGATATAAATGCTACATGAAATCACTAGCACTGAAGACGAGTGTACTGTGTGCACTCCAGACTGGTAAGTTTTTTGCTTAGAGAACTCTATTTATAATCGTTTAAATCAGTTTCAAACCATTTCAGATAGCTTTTGCCAGAAAATACAAGTACCAATTGTGGCCAGCACTGATTCTGGGCAAAGCACAGTTCCAAAAAGGGTACAGAGTGTATTTTTTTCGAAGCAAAGATATTTTGGATGTCCCTTTAAACAATGTCTTAACAGATATTGAGTTTTTACTAGGAAAGGAAGTTAGTTTCAAAAGAAACGGTTGTTTTAAGAAGGGAATTCTACAGAGTATCACTTCAAACTTGGCTACTATATCACCAAAGTTTTATATAGTATCTAAAAAGGGAATTGTATATGATGTGTCGTTTTTTAATGTTTATTTAACTACAAAACAAGCTGATGAAGTTTTAAGTTTTGTCAGTAATTAGGGAGAGTAATGCAAGCCTTAAATTTTACTATAAATAAATATTAAAATGTACTGCTTACCTGAGTTTGTTTGTATGTTATTATCGCCGATTTCTTTTTGGAAGCCAGCCAAATAGGACTGGATCTCGGTAACATTTTCCGAGGTGTCTTCTATTTTAATTGTCGTCTCGTCGAATTGTGTATTTGTAGTCATATTGATGGTTTTTTGTAATTAAATTACATTACCCTGAAAACTAAAGTAAAACTGAAAAACGTTGAAGTTCGATGAGGCAAGGATGTTTACCAAGATAAAATGAGTGTTAATTTAATACCTTCATTCAATTATTTGGTTTAAACTAGAAATTAAGGGGTTCCCTCCAAAATACGAGCGAAATAAATTTGAAATTGCGTTTTGTAGGCCAAGCATCGACAGTCGCCATTTTTGCCTTTAATAAGCAGATGCACGTGTATCGACCCCATATGCTACCTTTATTGCTTCGTTATTTAACAAAAATCAAGCAAAATCCGATGAATTTATTTGAATTATTTCTAATTTGGAAGTTGGGCATTTCCTTTTCGGATTGTAGGGGGCATTTCGACAAAAATTTCGTGAAATTAGCACGTATGGCGCTGTCATCAATATTACCAAAATGGACGATTCCGTGTCGGTGCTCGTCGAATTTTCCGTTTCTCTTACCTTTGCCGGGGTTTAGAAGTCGCGGAAATCCACGGGACGGGTCTGGAACTCGCACTAAACTTGGAATTTCACTGATTACGGGAAAAACTAATCAAATTTCGGAAATAATTGGTCGCCTAGTTAACTCCAAAACTGTCCTGTGAGGGCGTAGTTCGACGCAGCGTCTATTTTAGGAAAACAGAGATGGCGAGGCGGTCATATCGGAAATTGGCCGAGAGTTGCGCGCCAATGCGCGTGCGCAAATTATTGCGCTCTATAACGTCACCGTTTGAGCTGATTTATAATTTAATTATTATATATGGGATGTTTAAAAAGAAAACTACATTGTTTTTTGAGAAATTTAAGAAAGATATTGTATACGAATTTTCTTAGATTATGTTAGAACAAATGTTTTCGTTTTTTCTTTCGATCTGAAATCTTTTTGAATATGGCGGATGCGCTGGGGTATTAGGGAATATCTATTTGATGGTCTAGTTTAAAGATTTTAACATTATTTATGTTAGAAATTAAATTTTTACAACTGTTAAGAAACTGAAAACGTAACTATATTGGTTGAGTTGATTAGAACAGTTAACAGTAAATAGGAGAACTCGTTTTGTTATCAACAACTTGCAATTCAAAGGGATATGTTAAACTCAGTTTAACATTATAGTTTTAACTTTTGGATAAATCTTAAGTTTTACCGAAAGGTATAAAATTAGACCTTAATATAATAAATAAAAGGCATATGCATTAATTATAATTATATTTTATTCTTATATCTACAACAATAATAATTTAAATAATAAACAACTTGAAATTTAACATAATATGTATATTTCTAACGTTTATAAGTACAAGTACATTCATCGTTTACATTTCTTTTTACACAACCCTCGTATCTATAGCCTGTCCAGCGAAAGAACACTGAATAGAGTCTGTCATTTTAATTCAAAAGTATATTTTTGAACGATGTATATATTCTCACGCTAGACATACTGTACATAGATAATATATAGTACGTAAATACATCTTATTTCGGTAAAATAAATAATAAAAAATCATATTTAACACTTTATTCGTATATGTACTTACAAGAAAAATTACAATTTTAGAGTTTTTGTTTTTATTAAAAACTGAAGATTCAGTACAGAATGATTGAATGTAAATTTCGTCAGAGATGGCTACTGTGACGCCGTTTTTTTCGATCACTCGTCAGTATATTTAGTCGAATTTAGAAACTTTTAATTTGTTTATTTATTTTCGATGTTGATGTTGATTTAAACTTCGCTCTGCATGCAGTGTATGGATGATTCTTGGGACAGATCATCTAGCGAAGAATCTGAAACAGAAAACAAGAATATAAACAAATAAATAATAATACTGTGTATCCCTATAACATAGGGTAAAACATTTTAATGAACAGTGCTTTCCATAAAATCAATAAAATGAAAAATATACGAAATAATATACATGTACTGATTTCTTTCGAGAATCGACAACTATGAAACTATAATCCCTTCCCGGACACAAATGGTACATTGTGAGACAGGAAATTGTAGAGAGAAACAAGCCCTATAACATAGGATACAACATTTTAATGAACCAGTGCTTTTCATAAAATCAATAAAATGAAAAATATGCGAAATAATATACATGTACTGATTTCTTTCGAAAATCGACAACTATGAAACTATGAACCCTTCCCGGACACAAACGGTACATTATGAGACAGGAAATTGTAGAGAGAAACAAGCCCTATAACATAGGATACAACATTTTAATGAACAGTGCTTTCCATAAAATCAATAAAACGAAAAATATGCGAAATAATATGCATGTACTGATTTCTTTCGAAAATCGACAACTATGAAACTATGAACCCTTCCCGGACACAAACGGTACATTATGAGACAGGAAATTGTAGAGAGAAACAAGCCCTATAACATAGGATACAACATTTTAATGAACCAGTGCTTTTCATAAAATCAATAAAATGAAAAATATGCGAAATAATATACATGTACTGATTTCTTTCGAAAATCGACAACTATGAAACTATGAACCCTTCGCGGACACAAACGATACATTGTGAGACAGGAAATTGTAGAGAGAAACAAGCCCTATAACATAGGATACAACATTTTAATGAACAGTGCTTTCCATAAAATCAATAAAATGAAAAATATACGAAATAATATACATGTACTGATTTCTTTCGAAAATCGACAACTATGAAACTATGAACCCTTCCCGGACACAAACGGTACATTATGAGACAGGAAATTGTAGAGAGAAACAAGCCCTATAACATAGGATACAACATTTTAATGAACAGTGCTTTTCATAAAATCAATAAAATGAAAAATATACGAAATAATATACATGTACTGATTTCTTTCGAAAATCGACAACTATGAAACTATGAACCCTTCCCGGACACAAACGATACATTGTGATACAGGAAATTGTAGAGAGAAACAAGCCCTATAACATAGGATACAACATTTTAATGAACAGTGCTTTCCATAAAATCAATAAAATGAAAAATATGCGAAATAATATACATGTACTGATTTCTTTCGAAAATCGACAACTATGAAACTATGAACCCTTCCCGGACACAAACGGTACATTGTGAGATAGGGAATTGTAGAGAAAAAACAAGCCCTATAACATAGGATACAACATTTTAATGAACAGTGCTTTCCATAAAATCAATAAAATGAAAAATATACGAAATAATATACATGTACTGATTTCTTTCGAAAATCGACAACTATGAAAATATGAACCCTTCCCGGACACAAACGGTACATTGTGAAACAGGAAATTGTAGAGTACAAGTTATTTTTTATTCTAGGAGCTACAGATGCCCGACGCACTATTGCCGAGCCCTGTAGATATATTTTTTTTATATTATACATCTTTCATGGCTAATCTTACTGTAGACTTGCCCAATAAATTCTTTCTTCTTTTTTATTATGAAGTCTCCTCGATAACATCTTTTATTTATTTATTTATTTATTTATATCAGTCTTTAGGATACAAACAGAACAAAAATCCAAAACTAATAACCTGATATTATAGTTTACGTATATTGTAACAAAGATTCAGGAGAATCTGTGGCACTAAATTTGTCTTTAAATTTCCAGGAAATTTTTTTTTGCCAAAAAAACTCATGGGGTGTGTGTGGACCAGTTAAAATACTTGCACTTATTTAACGTACACCCTGTATAATTAAAAGAGAATATAATTATCATACCTGGTTGTGAGAACACGCTGTTTTTATTTTGCTGTTGGAATGAGTAGGTGAGATGTAGATTTATGTGCCTGCCAAATCCATTCTCCTCTCGATTTGAATGTACTAAATCACAAAAAAGACATATTACTAGCTTTTATAAAACTGGGTTTTAAAATTTAAAATTAGTGATGACAATAATATAGAATTATTATCAAAGACGTACAAATACAAGTCTATATCTCTGTATAAAGATTACATAAATAAATTTAAAAACATTATGAACAGAAATAAGGGTCCTGTACTTCAAGATTTCGTTCTCTACCATGCCTATCAATATGTTTACTTATTTTTTTGATAGAAGGTATTCTTGGGATCTTATATAAAATACTCACGTTGATTTTTGGCTTTCCCTGTATGCATGTGTTTCTTCTGTCGAGCTCTGGAGTTTTGAAACCAGACCTATATCAAAATAGAACAGTTTTTTAGTAAACTATACTCTTTTTGCTTCAGAGTTTACATGTATTTTTTTATCATTTATACACTTTTTTCACAATATTTCGAAGCAATCACTTGTCATCTTGTCAATCAAATTTTAAATATATCGCTATGCGTTCCAGTTGTACCAACTTATTTCTTTGTAAAATAAAATAAACTACTTTGAAATTAAAATGACAGACACATCTATCACTGTCAAAGATCTTCTCGTTGGACAGACTATATAGAGATTGACCTCGCCCAAATTATCATCGATTGTCATTTCTCAGCCGTCCTTGACCCCTTTTTTTTAAATTTATAGTAAAATTTCTACATTTTACTACAAGAAAGCTTGTTTATACCTGCGTTACTCTCTTGCTCAGTCCAGTGATCTGGGCTATCCTTTCCAGATCTTGTCCATCCGGGTTCGAGTCCAGCTGGAAGTTGGCCTGGAGTACTTGGAGTTGTTCCTCGGTGAAAGTGGTACGCACCCGCTTCGCCTTGTTCTTGTGGTACCCGTCGGCGTCACAGCCATCTGTGATGGAGAGAAATGAAATCTGTTTACGTAATTTTGTTGAATAGATGAGCAATAAAAGGAGAGTGTAGGTGCATTGAAGTTTATTATCAGCATAAGTCCCGCATCCCCACGAAAATCACATTTTTATTAAACAATAAAATTGTAAAATGTATTATTAAAAATATATGTTTATTAATTTCTTGAATTTAAAAATAGTCCTTTTCCACGAATTAATTAAAATTTTAGGAATTTTAGAATTGAAAGAAGTAGATATATTGATACTTTGTTTAATGAATATTCGATATTAAAAAATTGCGTAAAGGAAATGTGCCAAAAAGGATATACAGGGTGGCCCAATGGAAGTTTTCCACCCCAATTTTTCTCGTTTAAAATGAAAATTTGGAAAAACGCTCGGACACGTCGATTTAGTTTTCGAGGGGGAAAAGAAAATATCATAAAATCACTTTTACCCTAGACGGGGGCGGCGCCACCCCTAAATTCTTAAATGGAAAGAGGGGCCGAGTAATACATCATGTGAAAGGTCTTTCAATTCCCTTTTTAATGATATAAGATATCATGTAGTTTCGTTCAGTAGTTTTAGAGATTTATTGATTTAAAGTAGATTTTAATTTATCAGCTAAGTGGTGAAAAAATCGGTTTTTTTTTCTCTCTCTGTATGTATTTTTTTGGCAAACTATGTATACTAAAAATTAAGCTTTTAAATAAAAAAGCTTAAATTTTTTTTTTATTTTTTACAATTTCTAAAAATTTTCCCGGCCAAAATTGAGTATTTTTCACTTAATGCGAATTGAAAGATTTTTGGGCATGGATCGATGCAGATTGATTAGTTAAAATTTTTAGTATACATAGTTTGCCAAAAAAATACATACAGAGAGAGAGAGAAAAAAAATAAAAACCGATTTTTTCACCACTTAGCTGATAAATTAAACTCTACTTTAAATCAATAAATCTCTAAAACTACTGAACGAAAGTGCATGATAACTTATATCATTAAAAAGGGAATTGAAAGACCTTTCACATCAGTCGGCCCCCCTTTCCATTTAAGAATTTAGGGGTGGCGCCGCCCCCGCTTTGGGGGTTATAGGTGTGAAAGTGATTTTATGATATTTTTTCCCCCTCGAAAAATAAATCGACGTAAACGAGAAAAATTGGGGTAGAAAGTTTCCATTGGTCTACCCTGTATTGTAATTAATTGATTTATTTGTTTTATAGCTTATTTTACTTATTAAATGTTGGCAAAAACTAGTCCATTATGAATGAAACAACACGATATTATACAAAATAATGAGTGACTTTATGATAATTGTCAAATAATAAACGACAACGTTGCTGAACACGACGCAATTTGAACCAACATAGCGATAATAAAATTCGGTATAAACTAACTTTTGAAGCTTTAATCTAAATAAAATATCTGTTACAATCATTTGCTCTATAAAGTAAAATGAAGAGCTGCTTGGTATTCTAAACAAATTTAAAAATTTTTGGCCAAAATTTAATTTAGTTAGGTTTACAGGCTTTAATGTCAATTTTGCGATTACCGTATTTCTCTATTTTTTTTCTATAGAAACGCCCATTCTATACCATAAAAAACGCGAATTTAAACCTAGAAACCGTGTCCTTACCATCGGATGATGTCGTCCCTCCGTCCAGAGTCTCCAAATAGTGCGCCTTGCACAAGACCCTGTCCTCGTGCAGTGCAAACTCCTCCCCCGTCGACAGTTGCCTGTGACAGGCCGCGCATGCGAAACAGGCCAAGTGGTACACGTGATCTCTGGCCTTTCGCACCCAATCGCTGGAGGAGATGCCTCGCAAGCAGACGGAACATTTGGCTCCAAAACTTCTGAAACAAACAAACGCTTTACTAATTGTGCAGACCTGGCATTGGCACAAATTAGAATAAACACACAGTATATTATACATTCAATAAACTAGAATTAAACGACAAGTGTTGTGGTAGCTCTTCTGTAAAAAATGTCAAGTTGCCACAGTTATTTGTTTACTTCCTGACATTGTCATTCGTTTTGACACTTTAGTTTTGTATTACGAATTTTTGGTTTAAATGATTTTTTAATTTCGGGAGACGAATAATAATAATTTTATCGTCGTGTATAAAACAAAATTTTTTCCATAGCGAGTTACCGTAAAACGGGGTAACTTCGACAGGTTTCAGCTGTATTTCGTGCTCTGTGAAGAAAACTGTTGTCTTGAGAACCGTGACTTATGTGTCGTCGTAACAATTGAAGCCTTTGTTCTTCATAGCCGAACAAACAACTCCCCCCATCCCTCCTTCTACTTTTTTTTATTTTATTTTTTGCCCGCATCTGGGGTAACTTCGACACCATGCTTAATTCTGCATGAAGTCGAAGTTGGACGTCTCCGGTGCAACTTCGACACCAAAAAAAAGAAAATTCATTATGAATTATTAAGTAGAAACATTAGGGAATAGTTTATAGGCCTAAATTAGACAAACGAAACAAAAAAATACAGTCATATATATATCATCGTCATACATATATATATATATATATATATATTTATAAATTCGGGTCAGAACGTCCTACGACGTTGTCCGATGCCTAACTTCCACCCTGTGCGATTTTCCCATCGATCTTCGGTCAGATTTTTCTCGCTCATCGACCTTCTTATTCCTTCTATCCATGTTTTCTTGGGACGTCCTCTCTTTCGTTTACCAGGTGGTATCCAATGAATGACTTGTTTTGGAATTCTTTCATAGTGCATTCTCTGAACGTGGCCGTACCATATTAATTGTTTTTGTTCTATATCATTTACTATTGTTCCCTCTATTCCCATCTGTTGTCTAATGTCTTCATTTCTGATCTTATCCCTCCGTGAAATTCTCATGCTCTTCTAATCGCGTCCATTTCTGTTGTCTCTAATTTCCTTTTATTCCTTTCAGTGAGTCGCTATGTTTCACATCCATAGAGTAATATGCTTTTAACTAGTGTCTCGTATATATTATATTTCCTGTTTTTTGTAATTTCAGTGCTCCATAGAATGCCATTTATGCATCTGATAACTCTTCGTGCCTGTATTACTCTGTTGTTTATTTCTCTATCGTCCGTTCGATCTCCTGTAAATATCGATCCCAGGTACCTGTAATCTTCACATGTCCTAATTTCCATATTATTGTCTAAAATAAGATTTTCTGTATTAGTTCCAATTGGAAGGTATTTTGTTTTTTCTGTATTTACTGTGAGACCCCATTTAGCATATTCTTCAATTATTTTCCGCACCATATATTCCATGTCATCTTTGTCGTTTGCAATTATGGCCTGGTCGTCTGCAAATTGCAAGGTGTATAGGCATATGTCATTTAGTTCTATACACATTCTGTTACATTTTCTTTTCCATAGATGTAAGGCCTTGGCAATATAAATTTTAAATAATGTTGGGGATATACAGCAACCCTGTCGGAGCCCTTTAGTGATAGAAATTTCCTCTGAGAGACCGTTGACTGTTTTTATTTGTGATTTTCCTCCATGGTAAAGATTTTGTACAGCTTTTATCAAGCTGCGTTAATTCTTGATTCGTGCAATACTTCCCATAATTTTATTATTGGCACTGTATCATATGCTTTTTGTAGATCGATGAATGTTATATGAACTTCCTGGTTCATTGCGGATTTCTTCTCGATGATCTGTTTCAATGCAAAGATATTATCTGTACATGATCTTCCGCTTCTGAAACCATTCTGCTCTTCTTCTTCGTAGTTGGAGTATTCCTCTTCAATTAAGTTCCTCAGTATCCTTCCATAGAGGCGACTCATAGTGCTCGTGACCGAAATTCCCCTGTAGTTATTGGGATCCTTCCTTGAGCCCTTTTTATATATAGAGGAGATATGCTTTTTTCCACTGTTCAGGTACTGGATGACCATTTAAGCACTGGTTAACTATGTTTGTTAACATTCTAAACAGTTTTTTGCTTCCAGATTTTATGAGTTCTGCATATACTCCCTCTGGGCCACATGCTCTTCCATTCTTTAAAGACATTATAGCGGTCTTTATTTTGTTGGTATCCACGTAGATTTCCTCTCCTTCAATGTTTATTTCTGGCTGTGGCGGTTCTTGATACTCAGGTCTGTTCTCTGACAACAATTTGGAATAATATTTCACCTATTCTTTGTTGGTTATTATTTCTATAGGGGCTGACTCCTGTTTTTCAGTTGTTGTTGTTTTTATAAATTTCTATACTTCCGCATTCCTTCTTCCGCCTATATACGTATTAATTTCTTTGCATTTGTCATCCCACACTTTATTCTTTTCTTCTTTTACCATTCTCCTCACCTCTGAACTAACAGAACTTAAAAGACTTTTAACTTAACTAAAACTCATTGAAGAAAGTAAAAAACATAAATACACAACATTTAAAACAAGTTTAAAACATAAAAAACAAAGCAAACACTAGGAAAGAAATTCTAATCATCGTCGAAACATGGACATTCGCATCTCACTTGTTCGGAACCACCGTTGCAATATCCACAAACCCACTTTCCACAGGTGACACACTTGATCGACGCCTGTCTATTTGTGTACTCGGAGTACTGCATTAAACAAATGATAATAAAAGAAAAAAACAAATAATAATAATAAAAAAATAATAAAATAAATAAATAAAACAAAATTATAATACAAAAAATTTATTAAAGAAAACAAAAACAATAGAAAAAACTGGATAACCTGAAAACAACAAAAACCTAAAAAGAAAGCATTATAGCAATATATACATGTCGAAGTTACCCCCGCTGTCGAAGTTACCCCGTTTTAAAAAATATTGTGCTGGTTTGGCGTTGGTTTCTATGTAATTTGACAAATAAATAAAGCTGTCTCTTTAGTTGTCAGTTTTGAGTCAATATTTTTTAATTCTCTTTCGTGTCGATTGTTGATTGAATTGGAGCTAGAAACGGCTCAAAACGAAATAAGTAAATTACCAACAGATATTGAGGCTGAGGTGACAAACGCCATATCCAAACTACTTCCATTTAAATCCCGAATAACTTATGAAAAGGAATATTAAAAAATTTGAAAACTATACGTTTATCGTTAACAAGTTAAGAAAATGTATTGTATATGATAACGGCAGAATACATTTTAAAGTTTAATTAAAAATAATTGTAAAAATTTGCCTAACATATTTAAAAAATGTGGATATCAGATAGAATTAACTATTAACATTAAGTAATTTGTAGTTCGATGTTCATCAAGTAACCATCTCCATAAATCGTAAATAAAAAGATAAAGATATCATTTTTTTATATAAAATACGGAAATAAAGTACAAATTCATTTAATTTCTTTAAAATATATTGCCATTTCATAATAATAATATATATATTTCATAATAATAATAATACTTTTCAATATTTATTTCATCCTGAATTTCCAAATCTTGTTTTCTTTCATCGGGACGTTTTCTCTTTATGGGAACATGCACAGAGGGTCCATAAGAGGGTTGATTTGGAAAAATTGTAGGCACAGCATGTTCTGTAGGGTTTGGACGTGACCTAGTTGCAGTTAATATTGTTGGGAAAGAGAATGTAGACAGATCTTGAGGACTTATTATAATTGCTGCTACAAGGCACAGGCACAGAACAATGTCGCGGAATTTTTTATTTCACAAAGTAAAAATAAAGAAACGAAAACTGTTTACATAAAAATACACGTCACTTACGTTGGTTTAACACTATACACTAACACTAACGCTATTATAGTCTGTCCAACGAGAAGATCCGTGACAGTGATAGATGTGTCTGTCGTTTTATTTTCAAAGTAGTTTATTTTATTTTACAAAGAAATAAGTTGGTACAACTGGAACACGTAGCAGGAAATTAATATATTCAAAATTTGACTGACAAGTGATTACTTCAAAATATTGTGAAAAAACTGTATAAAATTGAAAAAATTTAATCGAGTTATTTTATTTAACAAAAAACGGTGTGTTAATATAAAACAAACAAGAACAAGACACCACATACCAAAAAAATATAAAAAAGAACTATTTCTTACTTCCAAGCTTCATGAAACTTCCAGCATTTATGATTATATTTATCAATATAACTTATGTACAAATACAAATTTGTAATATTCCACAGGAATAAATAAAACAACATAAATAAAAAATTTATTTTATTAATAATAACACTTACCAAATTTTATACCTTAAAGGTTGATTAATTAACTTTAATCTTAATTTTTTTAAACCATTACATTTTGACATTATTTTTCTGCAGTACTAAAATTCATTATTTACCTATCGTGTGATGTCGATATTTTACAGCTACTCCAGTTTGTAGTATGTGTTTAGTATGATCCTTCTGCCATATACGAGATGCACTTAACTACGACGAAATGGTATACAAACTTTATTGATGGTAACTTTATTGGTGTATAAGACTTTCTGCCTGGGCAGCGAGTATTAACGATAAACTGTGCTCTGGGTCTACAGTTAATTTTCACTCGATTTTTCCTCCACTTGACTTCAAAAGACACAAAACACACTTAATAACACGAATCAAAATGCATCATTTTCCAAAACGCAGGGTATTTGACAAAAGTTGACACAAAATTATAACCTTTAATTCCGCAAGACTTTGACAAGCGTCAAAAATCTAAAGGCGAGTTCATACACATCGGCGTCCGTTTGTCGTTCATCGTTCCGTCAAACCAATATTGAATCAACCGAAATTGAAATACGATCTGTCATTTTTGAAATAAACCAATAAAACTGGTTAAACAGAAAAAGAGACGACGCATGACGGATTTATATTTAAACCCATCCATAGTTAACTTAAAAATTATTAGAAACTTTTTTTACTAAAATAAAT